AAGGTATATACTTAAGACCAGAGATTACTAAAGTTTGTTTTTCTAATAAACCCCCTTGTATAATTTTATAAGTTTCGTTGTTTCTTTTTCAACTTGTTAACTCTCAACTTTATGTTTTTCTCAAATCTCTATAGGTCCTACCACTTTGAGAATCACTGCCTTGTTAACTGTTTAAAAAATTCCAGGAGTCAAAATTCAAAGTGGACCGATGGACCAGGAAAGAGGGTGGTGGAGGGATAACTTGTGTCCTTCAGGATGGACGCGTATTTGAGAAGGCTGGGGTTAACATATCCGTGGTGTCGGGAACTTTGCCGCCCGCTGCCGTGCAGCAGATGAGAAGCAGGTAAATGTCAAAGATAACGCTTCGCGGCTTGTCTACATGGTGTCTGGGACATGTGCTGTCTATTTTCTTGATGCAAAATTTTTATACTAGCAATATTTATCTTCTAGTGTTGTCAGTTGCGGACATTCTCAAGATTGAGTAGCAATTTTTTTTTCAGTCAGTGTGATAGTGAGGCTTTAAGATTTTTTTTTCATCTTTTTTATCGATTTCTCCCAGAGGCAAGAACTTGCAGTCATCAGAGCTGCCGTTCTTCGCTGCAGGAGTGAGCGCGGTTATCCACCCCCGCAACCCCATGGTGCCCACTGTGCACTTCAACTACAGGTACTTCGAGGTCAGGGATAAAGATGGTGAGTTGAGTTTCTACTGCACAGGTACAGTCGAGGACATTTATTACCTACCCATTTCTGTAAAACGCCATTTGACCCACACAATGATTACATAAGTCAACCCGCATTAGGCCTACTTAGTCACAGCAACTTGGATAGACTCCGAACCTCGACATATCAAGAAAAAGATAACTTTTTTCTTTATTATTTTTTATCAACAGGTGTTCAATGGTGGTTCGGCGGTGGTACAGATCTAACTCCATATTACCTGAACGAAGATGATGCGATACATTTCCATCTTACTCTTAAGGACGCCTGCGATGCACACGACCCTACATATTATCCCAAGTAAGCAACTTAATTAAAACAGGACAAAAACAATAAATAGATTGAATAAACAGCTAGTGTATGTATTTAAAAAAAAGACCGAAGAAGTAAAAAACGACTAGAAAGCGGCCATTTAAATTCACCGAAATAGCGAAGCGACCGCAGCCCATAGACATTCGCAATTGTAGATACGTTGTGCCTACCTTTAATCGACGGAGGAGACGATGCATAGAAAGATTTCTCCTTCCTATTCGTCCCCTCTGTCAAATCCGCTTCCCCATCCCCAATATGGATGGATTGTTTGAAAGAGAATATGGGAAAGATAAGGGTTATATGACGGCTCATAGAAATATATGGCATAGTACAGTCAGCTTCATAAATATGTATACATTTATTAAGCGTCAGATTCTTCTAGACGATCTTCGATTTCAGAAATTTGAATGCTCGTATCCGTCCGTATTCCTCCGACCATGATTATACAAGTTTTTTGAAACTGAAGACATGGCCAAATTTCTTAAGCTTTATGAATGTGTTCATATTTATGCAGCTGACTGTACATTGTGACAAGTCTCTGTATCTAAGGACAGTAGTTTCAAAAGATGTGTTTTCAGGTTCAAGAAGTGGTGCGATGATTACTTCACAATCCCGCACCGAGGTGAAAGAAGAGGCATCGGTGGTATATTCTTCGACGACATTGATTTCCCTTCCAAAGAAAAAGCTTTTGAATTTATAACATCATGTGCGGAGTCTGTCGTTCCGAGCTATATTCCTATTGGTACGTAAATACCCTATAGATTATTTTTTTTATTACCAAATGGTCAAACAATTTTTAATAACGAGACAATAATTCTAATAATCTTCGTCACTAAAGACTCTTACAAATCAAATTTGAAAAAAAAACTAATTAAGTATATGTTCTTCCAGACTGTTCTAGATATATGCCAATCTTCATCAAAATCCGTTGAGCCCTTCGGGAGATACATTCTAAAAATATCCATCCATGTAAACTTTCGCATTTATAATATTAGTAAGATATAGAGACACTAATCAATTTCATTTCTGTTACTGTAACTCTGTAAGGTTATATTCCAATATGACAGTCTGTAGCCTAAACGACCGAATCGATTTTGTCATATGGTGTTATGTCATGAGGTGTTATTTGACTCGTTTTTTCTACAGTACAAAAGCACAAAGACGACGCGTACGGTTACCACGAGCGTCAATGGCAGTTGCTACGTCGCGGTCGCTACGTGGAGTTCAACCTGGTGTACGACCGCGGCACCAAGTTCGGTCTGCACACGCCTGAAGCTAGATACGAGTCCATACTCATGTCGTTACCTTTGAATGCGGTCAGTGTTGCCATACTCAATACATGCTTTCTACAGCAACTAGTCATCGACCTATCACCATCATCAACCTGCCCTTATCCCTATCGAGGGTCGGCACAGAATGTACTACTCCTCCATACATCTCTATCAGCCGTCATATCCGAGTCTACCCTCTTCTTATGCATATCCTCTTTCACACAGTCATTCTTTTTTTGGTATCCGCTAGCTTTGTAGCCATCCGCATTCAATCTCATTACTTTTTTGCTTATATCATCATCATCCCTCCTCATAACATGTCCAAACCACGCTAATCTTTTACTCCTCAATTTCTCGATCACTGGCGCTACTTTAACTAGTCATCGACCTATAAAATATTTAAAAAGAAACAAATTTTCTATAACCCATAAACCATAAATATTTGGTGGGAAGTTTTTATTAATAGTAAAATTATATTTGTATCAATATTTTTACAGAAATGGGAGTACATGCACGAGCCTAAACTTAACTCTCCAGAAGAGAAATTGATGAGGGTTCTGAAGGAGCCTCGAGACTGGCTCAATATTGAAAAAGGAAAAAGAACTGTTGGTTGATTACACAAATTATAACTAAGTTTCACAAGGTTTTGAGATATGTAATGTATTTTTGTAAAAATTTTAAACTTATTATAAATGTTTGGTTGTTAACTGATTGTTTAATTACATTCCTTGTTTATTTGTTATAAATATTAATTATTTTGCTGAAAGAAAAAAGTACAGATAATAAATATGTAAAAAAAACAAAGAATTTTATTTATAATTGAATCGACTTTTATGTCCAATAAGATTAATTTTAGTTTATTCTAAAAGTCATTTGTTAAAGCAATGTTAACTTAGGCAAAAGATCATTAGAAAGAGTAAAAAGATACCAAAAGTTTCTGCCATTTGAGAAATCGACTATATTTTAAAAATTGACAAAACATCAAAGTTGTTTAAAATATCAAAACAAAACATTGTGTAATGGCAATTCATTAAAATAAAACGCGGCAACACTGCGAAACGTCAGTTGTCAATCTGGTGATCGCTTCAATATTGTGGTTTTATATTTTGTGTTATGTTTACTTGGCGATATAATTACTTAAGAAGAATAATTGTACGTCATTGAAACAACAATACGCTTAACAGTATCTAACTATTGCAATATTTGTATAGTTATGTTTTACGTAAAGAAGTGGCGCGGATAACGGATGCATTTCCTCCATTCTTATGCCTTAAACGTATTGTAACGTTTGAAATCGTGATGTTATTGTTAATCGGAAGTAAAGATGCCTTTTAAGTTGAAGTTGAAGAAGACTCGTCAGTACAATGTAGCTTCAAAGAGTTTATTCGTGATCAGTGTTGAATTGTTAGACGGCGGGGTTGCGGATTGCACTCTTTCCGTGGACAGCACGGGTCAAGAATGCCTAGATAATGTATGCCAGCGGCAGGCTATCAATCAGCCTGAGTTTTTTGGCTTGCGATACGTAAATCGTAGTCAACAGCCACGATGGGTCCAATTGGAACGCCCTTTGAAACGTCAGTTGGACAAATACGCCTCTTCCCACCAATTATATCTTCGTGTAATGTATTATGTCATATCTGGCACCAGTTTGATTACGGACGAAGTCACGCGATACCATTACTTTCTCCAGCTAAAGAATGATTTAATTGAGGGGCGTATAATCTGTGATTGTCAACAAGCTGTTGTATTAGCGTCGTACAGCCGGCAAGCTGAGTACGGGAATCATGATAAGGAGAGACATACTGTGGAGTACTTGAAGAATTTGCTGACATTCCCTAAACAAATGCTAGATGGAGGTCAGATAATTGACGGTAGTACATTGGCGGAGACTGGACGACTAGAATGGCTCACCGCAGCTGTTATACAACATCACATGTCCCTTCATAATATGTCACAGGTAAGCTTACTTAGTCTTGCATACATGGCAAATTTCTTACAACTTACATTTGTCATGGCACTTCAATTTTAGTATTTAAAATGTCACACTTTTCGTATCTACAATATACAGTATGTAAATGAAAGAAACAAGTTCTTAAATACTTTGATAAGGCGTTGAAAACATTTGAATTGAGTGCTTAATTTAATTGTTTTAAGGCCAACAAAACCCAATCTAGTTGTGTTGTTGAAATAAAGTAAAAATATTTTAAGTAGATCTTTACTCCATCAAAATAATATAGATGGGTACATGAAGAACTAGTATGGGATGCCCTCGGACCAATGACCTTATGACTAATGTATATTGGCAAAAACTTGCATCAAATCAACTGACACTGGCTTATATTATACTAAAATTTCCATCCAATAAATGCTGTTTAATAATTTCTATAGCATTTAACAACTCTACTCCTCTCTTATCATAAATCCATGCATCAAACACATTTGTAACATGACCTAGATAATGTAAATGAGTCATATAATAATTGCCTAACCTATGTTATCTGGCTATATCATTTGCAACACTGATTAAAAAGTTTATATTTTATATCGGATTTTATACTAGCATCCGCTTTAAAATTAATTGTCCTATAATCAATCAAACCTGTGAACAATCAAATTCAGAGGGACCTGGATAACAAGAGACTTGTGGTCTGACAGACAAACTTCATATGTGAGCAACTCTGGTTATAGAGAAACCTATATAAGTGAAAAATGCATTGCAATACTTTGGACTCTCTCTTATATTGGTTCAACTATGTTTATCAAATTATTTGACAGTGATTCACTGAGCCCCTACTGTAATTGTCTGAGTGTCAAGTTTTATTGTCATTTTGTAGCAATCCAACCTATTAAATAGTAAGATTAACAATGTAACCTTAATTCACACTTATTTAAGCTTGTAAGTCTCGAATTTCTAACACGACTGGGGCATTAACAAGTATGGCTTCTTATATCATTGTAAAAATTAAAAAGAAGTCCCTTTTATTGTCATTTTCATTACACTAAAATGACGAAAAATAAGAGATAAAACTCTCAACAACAAACTATAAAGTATATATTTATAAACTTATATTTATATACATTATAGTTTGATGATTATATATAACATGAATATAAGCATTTATTAATAATTCAAATTAATTTTGTTTTTCGATGTTTTTGAATTTCAGTGTTTAGTTTTAATTAAAATATTTACTCTGTTTTTTACTCTTTACCATATTTACTCTTTGACATGTCTCATAAATCTTATTCTATGACGTAAACAAGTTTACGCGCGAAATATTTTTAAAAGTGGGTTAACAGTTATGGTGCTAAATATATTCATTGCGTATTACTGCTATTCATTATTAAATGCCATGGGACTGAGTCGAACCGATTAAGTCGGCCTTCGTGCGTAGAATGCTGGAATAGTTTTTATGTTCATTGCAACTAAAGCGCCAGTCGCGTATTTATGAATGCTAATGGCACAATACTTGTTCTAAGACTGAACTAATAGCCTGTTTGTATAAACTGGCTTTTAAACGGCACATTTAATACACTAAGGGACAACCTCATTGACCATTTTATAACTGCAAAATATTTAAGATTCGATTGTCTCTGTTTTCGTAAACCGTACCAGTAAAGTCTTACCATAGGTCACAATTGTAATGTATTTATGATTTCATTTTTAATGAACTAATCTTATAAAAATTCTTATTGAAAGAAACAAGGGATGCGTCATTTAATCATTCAGAATATTTTTTTCTATATAACAATACTATTCAAATATTCGGCGACATTTAATCGGATTCCCCGGCGCAGGCGCGTCACGTTTTGCATGCAAATTCGCAAGTTCACAGGCTTTGCATCTAAATTAAAAACATTGATATGCAAAACCTCCCTCTGAAACTAATTTCCAAAACTGTACTCTACAATTTAACAGTTAGTGAACGTATTTAAACATTCCATGGAGATTAATAATATCACTCGTTTTTAATACATTTAAACATGATTAATAGATGCTTATTTTGTTCCCAAAAAACAAATTTGATCTTAGGCAAGGCTTATTTTTACCGCTAAATTATATTTAAATTCTAACTTTTGCATTACGACATAGCATGATAATGTTCCCACCAAATGTAGATTTAGATTTATCTTAGCACAAATCCTTACGTAAATATTATATCATGAAGTTTTTACTCTAGTCAACCAATATCCTTTGTCCACAACCGTTTTTCCATTAATGAAAGTGGCACAACACATATAAACTTACGTTTACTACCGAATCAAAAACAAAATTGTTGTCATCTCCAGCATGATCTTTGAAATAAAAGAGACAACAAAATATTGTAGAGTATTTCCAGCAGTAACTCACAATGTGCCTGTTCCAGGCGCAAGCGGAGGAAGGGTTTATCAGCGCATGCCAACAGCTGCGCGGCTATGGACAGGAGATGTTTAGCGCCCGCGACCAGCTTGACCAGAGCGAGGTTACACTGGCCGTGTCGCTCACCGGTATACGTGTCCTCACCGAGACAAGTGACACGCCCACCTTCTACAGGTCATTAAAAAAGAACATTGGTTTCGCTAAAATAGCGAAGTAACCTATAAGCATCTGCAACTAGTTATGGTTGCAGATGTGTTGCTTACCTCAAGTAGACGAAGAAGAGGACGTATCTACAGAAATAGGATTACTTTTTCCTATGCATCCCTTCCTCTCAAAAATTTACTTCCCCTTTCTATCCCTTCCTTTTTTATATAAAACTAGCTGTTGCCCACGACTCTGTCGGCGTGGAATTATAAAAAAAAAAACACAATTAGTAATCTATGTGTTCTTCCAGACTATATTCTATATTTATGCCAAAATTTCATCGAGCTACGTTAAGCAGTTCAGGAGATAGCTGTTAAAAACATCCATCCATCCATCTAAACATTTGCATTTATAATATTAGTCAGAGAAGGGGGTAAATGAACAGCGGGAACACCACAATGATCATTGACGCCCATGGACATCTGCAATACTAAAGGAATTGCAGATGCATTGCCTGCCTTTAAGAAATGCTGATCCCTGTAATGTCATAGTCATTGTGGGTTTTTTTTAATTTTTAATCAATAATACAGATGGATGGATATAACAAATGTTATCAATCACAAGAGGACGTTCAGCGTGGAATGTCAGCGACCCTTAGGTTCAGCAGCGTTCGTTCTCCCCAGTCCTGAAGATGGGAAGTACGTGTGGAGGATGTGCGTGCAGCAGCATACCTTCTACATGAGACATCGACCAGCTCTCACCACCAACCATGTGGTGCATGATGAACCACGACCTAACTTCCAGGTAGATTTAGGTTTAACTATTGTTAACTGAGTTTTATAAGAGTATTGACTGTCGCCCGCAACTTAATTAGAAGCCTATGTGTTGTTCAAGACTATGTTCTACATATATGCTAAGTTTCAGCAAGATTTGTGCAACTGTTTTAAATATACCTTTTAACAAACATCCATCCATCCAAACATTCGCATTTGTAAGATTAGAAAGAAGTAAAATTTAGTTATTTCTCAGTTATATACTATCGCCATTGGTCCGCTCTAATGATTACCAACATAAAAAATGTATAATATACTGCAGCGTATGCACGCAAAACTGTATAGTGGAAAGTTAGTCGATAGTGTGTACCAAATCATTGTTCCGAATGTAACTTCACTTACAAAACACTTGATTGTTTGTGCTAAATAAATTAATCTGTTCATTGGTCTAGAACTTTGTAAGTATTTCTTTGTTTACTTGTTAGGTTGTGATGTACTTTTACTAACGACTTCCTTAGAAGAATTAAACTGAAATACTGCATATGCACCCACATTTCGTCTTATAAATAATGTGCTCAAACGATAAGATCATGACAACTTTCACACTATAACGAAAGTATCTGAAGAAGTAAGAAAAGTATATTACAACTACTCCGCCGCCAGGAGCACGGTCTGTCGGAGAGTCGTGAGGAGCTGGACGTGCGGGAGTGTGCGGGCGCGGGGTCCCGCCTGGAGCCACTCACTGCCGCTCACCGCGCTCATTCCACCTCCTGCCTCGAACTGGCCGACCACCCGCCGCAGCCAATGCACAGGAACAGGTCACATGCACATACCAACAGACACGCCACACTCTACCAACCCCTATTCGTAACGCTCTTTTATCTCCTACAGGGCCCTGCTTCCTTCTTACCGACCCGCGCCTGATTACGAAACGGCGATCCAACAAAAATATCAGCAGCAAAGAGCAGAGGCACAAATACGATATCAGAATCACCACACCCACTCACAACTCCTCGCTAGCTCCGCCAAGCCCCTTGTGTACGGCTCCCACCCCGACATCCCCGGCATACACTATCCCGATGTAACCCGCCATACAGTCTCCGTCAACCAGGGGGTCGCCACCACCGAAAACTACGGCCTCAAGTTCGTAGCCAACTATCCCTTTGCCGTCAACCCTAACGTCCAAACCGACCACGCCCTCCACTACGTTAACGTGTACAAGCCTCCACCCCCTTACCCTTCCAACGGCCTAGTCTCCAACTCCACCCCGGACCTCGCGGTCGCCAGCCAGGCCCTCAACTACCACAGGGGATACATCAACAACCACGTGTCCGGCTCCAGTCCGGACCTCGTCTCCACCAGGTCGGCCATCAACAGACAGTACCTCGGGTACCTGAACCAAGGTCATAACGTCGTCAGCTACGCCCGACCCAACATGTTGCCGGCAACACACGGCACCTACAACAATCTCACATCAGTCCTAGACCCGAACCCCCACATTATAATTGACCCCCACCATATATCAGATAATATACAAAAAGTATATGACGAAAGAGGTAACATTATGTACTCGATGCCGATGAGAAGGATATCCTACCAACGACATCTCGTGTTACCTCAGCAGCAAATCAAAATCACCGACACACAGGAACCGATATACGAAAACGTGCCTCTACCCTGGCAGAGCGAGAGAACGATGCGAGATAGAGCACAAAGTCTGACCACAACAGATGAAATAGCACGACAAAACGAAAGGAATAACAGCCATCCAACAATAAACAGCTATGGAAACCCAAAACCGATGAATGTACCGAACTATCGTCTCCCAGTTAAAATAGAAACAGATAACCATTACGTGAACGCACAAATAATTAAAGGTGTCAGAGAAACGAGTGTGCCAAAAGATGAATCTAGTCGAAACAAGACTGATGATGATCCTAACATAGCAATAGATAAATTATCTATACAGACAGACGAGAAAGATGATTATGAAACTCCATACCAGAGTTTATCAACCCATAAAACAAATATAAGTAAATCTTCAGATAATGTGACGTCAATAATTATACCTGATATAAAAATAGGACAAAACAATAATATCTCTCAAACTAGTATCACAGATTCTAATGCTAACACAACATACACTAGTGTCGATTTGGAAAACTCTAAAAACAGTGTAAGCAGTAAAGAGAAAAAACGAAGACGTTGGGGAGTGTTTATGGGCCGGAATAAGAATGTTGAAGTTAAAAGTGCTACGTTAGGAAGGGACAGAGCTAAAGTGAATCAAACTCAACCAGCTAACAAACACCGGTGGTCAACCGGTCTGCCAAAATTCCAGCCTCTACCTCCCAGCATAACCAAAGAAACTCTGGTAAGTATCGAAATTAATTATTGACAGACATTCAAATTACTTTCGTTCTATTTCTTATTAACTATCACGCGCGATTCAATTTTAATTTAAACTTTGTTAAGCAAATAATTAAATTAGCTGTAATTCCTTAAGTTCTTCTTAAAATATACGTATCGTTACCAAGGTAGTGTTAAAATAAAGTGATCAATATAACAGTGTCAACTCCTGGAGCGCAAGATGTGCGAAGATCAGCTGTCGTTCGCATTCGAGCAGATCCCGAAGGGGCGCGAGGGGGCGGGGCATGCGCTGGCCACGCCCCCCGCCGCCGGCGACGACCACCTCCCCTACGAGGACAACCGCGTGCGTCTGCATCCCACACCTGACAACCCTCACGGATACATCAACGCCTCACATATCACTGTGAGTTTTTACATCAAACTGACAAACTATAACAAACTCTTTAATATCTATATATAAAAATTAATTGCTGTTCGTTAGTCTCGCTAAAACTCGAGAAAAGATGAACGGATTTATCTTATCTCGGTCTTGAAATGTTCGTGGAGGTCTACGGAAAGTTTAAAAGGTGAGAAAAATTGAAATAGCTGCCGGGAAAACCCTTTAGGAACCTTTTTTTAAAGCCGCGCGGAAGGAGTCGCGGGCGACGGCCAGTTTTCTGATAAAAATAGTAATAATAACTTCCAGATGACAGTGGGCAGTTCGCAACGTTTCTATGTGGTGATAAAGTGCAAGGGGCAGAGCGCGGGTCAGGTGTGGGCGTGCGTGTGGCAGGTGGGCGCGCGGCTGCTCGCGCACGTGGGCGAGGACCCGCCGCCCTACCTGCCGCACGACCAGACCGCCACTGACTACGGACAGGTGAGTTACCATTACAACACGTTCCGAGCACTTGGCCACGCCCACAATCAACATAACCACTTCCTTTTCTGTATTTCTTTACTATTTTTTGTATAAATTATGTGTAATTGTAATACTTTATAATAGACTTAATAAAATTTAATTTAATTTAAAAAAAATAGTACAGAAAAAAAAGATATAAACAACGTGTTATAGGGCTAAGCTCAGCTGACACTTTTTTGTTTTTAACTTTATTTGATTACTCAATCAACTCTATCCGCGCGAATAAAAATAGTGACCTCCAGTACCTTAGTGGCTTCCAAACCATACATCCAATAATTCGCATTTATAATACAATTAAGATTGTTTAATGTTGTGTTGTTTCAGTACAACGTGACGGCGTCGCGTACGTCGGAGGCGGCGTGGGGCGGGTCTGTGCGGGTGCGCGTGCGGCGCGGGGCGGGCTCGGCGGCGCGCACGCGCTCTCTCTGGCTGGTGCACTTCGCGCGCTGGCCTCCGCCGCAACCAGCACCCACTGATGTCGCACTCTTCTCAGGTCGTTACTAACAAACAACATCTTCACTTTTTTATTTATATTACGTCAAACTTTCTATTGCAAATGTCAACATTTATAATAATAACTAGCTGTTGCCCGCGACTCCGTCTGCGCAGAATTTAAAAAAAAAAACATAATATGTAGTCTATGTGTTCTTCCACACTATGTTCTATATGTATGCCAAATTACATCAAGATCCGTTCAGCCGTTTCGGAGATACCTTCAAACAAACATCCATCCATCCATCTAAACATACGCATTTATAATATTAGTAAAAAGTAAGGTAGTAAGATTTACTCAAGTATAAAAGGCGAATTTATCACCAGATTTCTTAAGTGAGCTGAACGGTCTCCGTGTGGTGTGCGAGGCGGAGGCAAGCGAGGAGAAGCAGCCGCTGGCCTCGCGCAACGCTCCACTCGCGCTGAGCTGCACCGCGGGCGCCGGCCGCAGCGGCCTCGCGCTCGCCGCTGATGTACTGCTGCATGTACTGGATACCAACCAGGTATAACCTAGAAACCCACTCCATTGGTACACTAGCTGTCGCCTGCGACTCCATCTGACCGGAATTAAAAAAAACTTAACTAGTAGCTTATGTGTTCATCCAGACTATGTTCTACATCTAACAAACAGCGAGATCCATTCAGTTGTTTTGGAGATACCTTCTATCATCCATCCATCCAAACTTTCTTATTTATAATATTAATAAGATATATAAGTGACCTTGAATAGATCAATCTATTTTGTGTGTACCTACTCTTTTCTACTTTTACTGTTCAATATAAACCATGTTCTTCAGGAGTTGGACATCCCGCGCACCATCGGCCTGCTGCACCAGCAGCGCGCCAGTCTGGTGCAGAACGTGCAGCAGTACCGCTTCCTGCATCAGCTGCTGCTGCATCACCTCAAGAGATCCAGGCTTATATAACCCTGGAACCACTCTCTAACATGGTGAGTCACGTGTTTCTGGAAGAAGAAACTTTATTTGAAGAAAGAAGGGGAGAGAAGACAAGGGAATTGTTATTCCCTGTTTGTTTTGTCCTCTGTCTCTTTGTAAACTTTTAAGGTATTGAATTTGGCTACGATGATATGATTTGAAATATCGAGAAAATTCGTTTTCTATATCTGCCCAACCTCTCATGTACGAGGATCGATGGTGAAAAAGATATAGTCGAAATAAAATACGATTGAAAATAATCAAATTTTAAAACATTTTTTTACTTTTCTTTGAAAACTTCATATTAGAAAGTACAATACATAATGTTTTCTATATATCACACAATTTTATATATTTTAATAAATTCTACTTGAATAAAATCCTAATAATTTAATCTAATTACATGAATATTTATTGTAAAGCAGTTTCAAAAAGTCTCCTTCTCACTGGAGTTGAATATAGTAGTCACTGTTTGCCTTGAGGTGGTCGAGCGCAGATTTCACTTACCCTAAACCTCGTTTAAGAGTAACTAAGCTTGAGGGCTCCCTCAGGAACCTCGGTTCGGGCTGTTACTTCGTTGTTATTACCTGATTGGGACTGATTACATCATGGTGCGAGTCAATTTTAATGAAATCCATTCGTCAGGTCGATACATATAACAAATAAATTAATATCGCGATCTATCAATCAACTACGCCATCTATTGACATAATATCACAGTTAACATTCTGACATAACATACGATATTGATTCCTAACTAGCTGTCGCCCGCGACTCCGTCCGCATGGATATATAAAAAACTTAATATATAGATAAGTTAAATAAAAAGTAGCTCTTCAGGGCATAAACTTGAAAAAAAATGATTAAATAGTATCCTATGTCCGTCTCCTGGCTCTAAGTTCTTCACCAATTTTCAAGCATATCGGTAAAGCCGTTCTTGAGTTATAAATAGTAAAACTAACACGACTTACTTATATATATATATATATTGGTTTATTATTAAAAAATACATTTAAATAATTTATATGCAAAATCAAATTAACTTTGATTAAGTATTATTGTAGTCACAGTTTGCAGTGCCTAAGTTAAATCTATTAAATAACATTAAAAAAAAGTTAGAAATATATTGCGTTTCAAATATAAGTGTATCCGAAAAAAAATTGGTTTAAAATGTCTTTTGCTGACCATATTTTTATATTGTCATAGCTATGACGTCATAGTGCGGGTTCGTGTATTTATTTGAAACGAACTATACTTACGTCTTAAGAGGAATACGTGCCTTAATTTTGTCGTAATGATCTGAAGTGCCTTAACATTATACTTTCATTTATGTATTTAAGGACTAATTTTAACAATTCTTAATGAGCGTCGGTGGCACAGTGGTTAAGCACTTGACTTGCAATCTGCAGGTCTTGGGTTCGAATCCCGCCATGTACCAATGTGTTTTTCTATTTCCGATTTACATATGTACATTTATCAGACGTTCTTACGGTGAAGGAAAACATCGTGATGCTGCACATATCTGAGAAGAAATTCAAAAGATATGTGTGAAATCAACCCGCACTTGGGCAGCGTGGTTGACTATGGCCTAATCACTCTATACTTAGGGTAGGCTCCGAGCTCCTCGGTGGGGACGTATAGTGAGCTGATGATGTATAGTGCTTAGTGACGTGAGAAGTTAACGTATATCCAAATAACCGTGGATTTCCCAAAATATCGAGTTTAAAATATATCTCTGTGTTGTCAAAGATAATGACAGGGATGACAATATCATGTATTGTGTTCAAATAAAAGCAACACACTCTTCACTTAAATAGTTTATTATGGATTTATTTACAACTGCACACCAAATATATACAAACACAAATAGACAATATATAAGAAATTGAATGACAACACTTTTCTCAGCTCATTGTTAAAACTCACTCTCGATTTTACTGAAAAAATAACAAAAGATTACTCGGTTTGATAGAAAAATAAAGTCTCACGGCGCCTCTATGTGCCTCTAACGTAACATTGAATTACGCTTCAACATCTTGTATTATATTTATACAAAGGTTTTGGTCTCAGAAACCCACGGTAAGATATTTACATATATCTTGTCAATGTTTAAATATTTTCAATTAATATAAATATCACAAATAAAACTTACATTTTGAATTGAAGAAAATAATGTTATTTTATATACAGCTCAGTTTTAAGATTGACATTATATATTTTACAATAATTACAAGCACTTGCAGGTATTAGTAAAGAATGTTTTTCGACTCCCTTTTTTATTAATTGAACATCAAATGTATTGTTAAATAGTGTTCTTCATTGTCGAAACATGTACAAAATCATCGTACTATCTTTCGTTCAAAGAGAACAAAGGAGTTTTTTTTACATCTATTTCGACAGTGTAAACTTACGTTTATATACATTTTGGTAATTCAAATGTGTTCAACGATTATTTCTAATTATTTAGTGACATATGTATTGATACATGTTGTCTATGGTTTATAACAGTTTATAAATACAAATGGCAAAGCAGTCAAAAACCATAAATATAGTCAAACAAGGATATCTCAGCTGGTAAGAGTCGCAGTTTAGTTTAGCAGTCGCGATTAGTTCTGTCAGAATACGTATAAAACTGATTTCTAGTGATTAAAGCTTGGAAATAATTTTGCTTCGTTCCTTCAACACGTTTGCGGGGCTAGGAAATTTGCATGCTCCGAAGCGATTTCATAACGAACTTGAAAAATGTATCGAACCAATAACTTCTATACAATTTTGATATTACGTGACAGTTAAATCAGCTACCATCAGCACCAAAATGGTGAAAATCATATAGGCACAAAATACTAATTCTTATAGCCAATTTATTTAAAGAGTTCAGTGTGTAAAACCTACATGGACAGACTTTTTAATATTGGCATGAGGGCGTTAGTGAGCTATAATTTAGTTTGACTTATGTCCACAGGTTAGATAACTTTGTCGGTCTGTACAGATGTATTTTATTATCTAGTCGAAGGCAGCTACACATTTAAGTTATTAATTTAGTTAACTCTTTCAGTTAAAATTAATCTGTAATTTTATTATCGTCTACATTTGACTCAGTATTTTTTATCTGTAAATGCTTTCTTTACTTATTTTTTTTTAAATGATGTCATCGAAATTATTTTACTATTTATCAGTATTTTAAAAAGTATTAAATGAACATATTTTCGCACAATTTTTTTTTTCAGAAAATTTAAATTTGTTTTATTTCCTTTTATTCGGCATTACATAAGAATGTTTAACTTTTACTACTAAAATTATTGTTTCAAATCACTTTTCATAGTATTTTTTGTATTATATTTATCTGTTTGTAGTATTTTATCAATCTTCTTTATTTTTTTATTAGATTTAATAATTTCTCATTGAGTGTAATTACATATCTCATTTTTAATTTGTACGTTTTATGTTTGTATTTTTATACTATTTACCAATGGTTTCTGAGACAAAAATCCTTGTTTAAAACATATTGTTATCCAAAACAGAGATAAAAAATATTTTTATATAAAAATGTTGGTCTCAGAAGCCAATGATAAATTAACTTTATATTGTGTAAGTTCGCTCACATCTGTTTGATCAGATTTGTGTAGATATTGTATACAATGTGGCAATCATGTGTTTGCATTCTAATCGAGTTTAATCATGAATTTGTGATGTTTATAATAAAATTGAATGAATTTTAAGCATTTTTAATTATCCGATACCCATTTTAGAGAGATTTTCTAGATTTCTTATACAAATTAAACAATTTCTTACTCTTATATATTTTTTTTTACCATTGAATTCCACTGCCATGTTATTAACGTACTAGCTGTCGTACTAATTGTAGCTCATTCTCAGACCAACTGAATATGCATAAAAAATCGGACTAACTGTGTTAGAGGAGTATGGAACATTATGACACGAGAATTTTATATATAAGCTATATTTCAATCTATTGTCAAATAAATTGTAAGGGATGACAAAATGGAGCAATAAAATTGTCACAACAGTGATGTTCTACAGTTACTTACAATAAAACAGTTAAATTGGTAAAGTCTATTTATTCTGTATAAAATAGTAATCTAACTTAACCTAAACCTCGTGTTAGGGTGGATAGTATGGTCTGGGGGGCGGACCGGGGAGCAATGTCCTATGGAGTGGACCGCGCGTCGGCATGGGAGGGAAATAGTTGGGAGGTGGCACGCTGACAGGAGCACCGAAGCGCGGGTGACTTGGAGGAGGTTCTCTGTATGGAAGCGGGGGTACAGAATGTGGTGGAGGCACTGTGTGTGGCGGATGAGGAGGTACAGGATGCGGTGGGGGCACGGGATGTGTAGGAGGTACACTGTGTGGAGGAACACTGTGCGGGGGCACATGGGCTGGTACAGGGTGCATGGCACCAGGAGGGGGCGCGCTGTAGACTGGAGGTGCAAACGGTATTCCAGGATAGCTGGGATAACTGAACCTCAGGGGCTCCATCTTGGGTGGTTCAGGTTTGCTCTCGCCTCCATTCTTAAGTGGTGTGGTTACAGGTTTACTCATGGCAGCGGCGACAGGCGATGCGGAAGCGGGCGGTGTAATGGAGGGTGGCTTCTTCTCGTTTTTTGTCTGCTTGGCAGTGTTCTCAGTCGGTGAGTCTCCACCAGATTGTTGGGTTTGTGGAGAATATAAGTCTAGTACCTGAAGATTTTAGATCAAATAAAATAGATAAGATTATTTTTTATAGCAACAAAAGTAGTTGTTTTAGTTAAAAATTTACATAGTGTTGAAGAACAAATAATGCTAAATTGTATGAACACAAAACTTCTATGTTCCTACTTGAATTTGGTAAAATAATTATTTGACATGTATCATACAAACCTGATGACAAATATCTTCAAGGAGGTCCATAGTGATATCCTCAACAAACATGTCCCACCAGGCATTGTGTTTGGGTGTGCGGCCATTCCAGTCCACTATCTCAAATTTGCTCAGCTTACCCGCTAGGAACATAAGGGCCACCGCTATCACTTCTGGCTCCCATTGTAGACACAGTGTTGTGCATAAACTGAAAAGAAATAGATTTATAATTAAATATATTTCACTTGAATGGGACAATGATTACTACTAATACAATTATTTATATGATAAATGCATTTGAAGTGATTGAAAGCCAGACAACACAATAATGACAATGGGATTATGGAATGGGGTATTCCATATTTTTTACTACCATAATCAAATTCTGCAAAACCTATTATCATGATAACTGCTTACCTATCATTAACAAATGTCCACGCCATCTGCACCATTTTTTGTAATTTTGATTTATCTCCTTTCAAACACTTTGCATACTTCAAAAGGTATCCATAGGGATGTTCGACTTGCAAATCGAACTTTATAGTCTGAAGCAAGATTCTCTCCAACGTCATCACTTCCTCTTTAGGATCATCACCAAAAGTACTAAATTTTTGTTCAGATATCAAGGGCTTTGCAACCTTTATAATGTCCTTGCACTTTTTAGGCGTTTCTTCCACTTTGCCCGCCAGAAACAGGCAGCAGCACGCGGTGATATACCTTGGGAATGTCTTGAAAGAGTGGAACATGTAGAAACGGTGGAAGTAAACAACACCCGTAGCAACTGTGTTATAACCTAAATCCATTTTTGATCCCGTGTCAATAATAAATCTTGCACCTTCTTTTCGATACCGATTTTCTGTTTCAGTACTAATTCCATCGCGAAATGACGGTGTATTTTGCAGATCTTTCTTATCGTAGTACCAATAAGGCATTTTTGATATATAAAAATAAAAAATATCAACTAATTATCACTACTTCTCGACCACTGACATTCGATGTCAAATTTTATGATTATGTTATTTTATAAGGATGTGAATTCTTCGTTATTTACTACCGATGTTGCTATATCTCAAGTAAAAATAATGTGAAAACGTCCGTTAATGTTCGTTCATGCGCAACCTTTTAGTTACTAAAGTAAATTAATTATTATATTGTTATTCATTCATTACAGAGCCGTAACCTAGTTATTGTAAACTCTAATAAACTTTTTGGATGTTGCATTAATGACCGTTACATAAATGGAACATCGGAACGTCAAAAAATCGATATATCGTTAGAACATCCCTAAGATATTTTTGTTTTATTTTTCTTGAACGTATGAATTACAAAAACTGCTGAAAAGAAATAACTTGGATGTAACCTTGTAACATAACGAGATAATATCTCTTTGGCAAAAATTAGACAAATACACAGCGAGAAATATCTTGATAAGAGTATTATAATCAACCTTAACCTTAACGTAGTGCAGGAACCGTTTCTTATATAATATTATAATTGTGTTCGAAAAGCTTAATTTTTTTAATATGATTTAATGTGAAAAAACAAGCGCTCTGGGCCATATTTCTACAGCGCCCTCTCTTTTGCTCTTGGGGCATAAGCCCTGTTATGTGAGATTATGTAATTTGCAGAACTGTGGCGCCCATTCATGCACCCTGGGCGGCTGCCAAACAACACCATACCCTAACGCCAGCCCTGGAAAAATTACTCTCAGAAATTATACTAAACTACACTATCCTCGAAAACGTTGCACGTAAGCGTGGTAAAATTAAAAAAAAAAAACATTAGTCAGGACCACATAATGGTATACTTACTATATTCGTTTATTTGTTCTTTATTTTTGTACGTACGAAGTTATCTTTTTATACAGGTTTAGCTGCTTATCGTATCAACTCAGTTTTATACCCGACAAGACGTCTATACGTCTTGTCACAGAAAGGTGTCATGTTATAGTGCCCGCGCAGTAAATTCAAGTTTTGTAACCAAATACTTTAATATTTTACAATATTTTGATATGTGTGTGGAAGAAATATATTAGCTAATAAATATAAGAAGATTTATTACATATTTCAACTAAGTTTTTCTTGATATTCGATTTGTTTTGTATGTAATTTAACAGACGAAGTTGTGCGCTGTGATATTTTTTACAATCATAGTGATTCAACATTTTATTGTTTTTACTACATGAGTCCTCTTTAATTTGTCAAAAGTATAAATGATTGATTATAAACTTTTTAAACAAATTTTTCTATTTTATTAAATTAAAAAAGACAAAATTACGATATATTTATTTGAAATGAAAAATAATTCGACCTCAAACGAGAGGCCAATAGCTTATCTTAATTGCTAATGCCCGCTTCGAAAATACAAGTTGCGCCAGTCAGTCAGTCGACGTCAAACCAAAATGGCGCTTAGAGCAGGTTTTACTTTTGTCAAGTTAAATTCACTACGACAAGCCACTAGGGTGAGTTAAATTATACTTGTATAAAGATAAAATAATTAGAAATATTTATTTACATCGTAAATATAGTAATTATAAATGAGAATTAATATTACCTAATTTTTTCGTAATAATAATAAAAAGTTGTTACAAGTTCGTCTTAAAAATTACGTTTTTCAATGACAAGTTTAATGTATGAAAAATTAAAACAAAAAACTTGTCAAGCAACATTTTTTTTTTAATTAACATTGATTGTGTTTAGTTTGTAATTTTACTATTTACTTTTTCATAATTTAAATGAACTGATATGTTATCTACTAAAGTAGAACTATACATTTGATAATAAACCTTATCCTATAGGCTTTTAGATACACATCTGATTGTGATCAACAAGATAATAGAAATTGTTTACATCTGTGATATTCGTTTTGTTTTTATTGTGAAGTAATTAACTTTTTTGTAAAATATTTGAAATGCAAACTTACTTTTATTTACTTTAACTTTGTAATTACACTTAACGTTTGAACATTTGGAACAGAGATGTACTTAGGTTACATTTCGGAATGACGATACAAAGTTTTTTTTTTTTAATTTCTGACGTCTTGGGCCACAGCTTGTAAAATACTTTTAAATTCATTTCTAGCTTCTATCAACACACACGAGACCGGATGTGTGTCAGAATGGAGGAACTTCCGAATTTCCGGGAGCTAAAGCACCCTACGTAAATGAAATAAAGTTTCTGAACGAGAACAGTTACGACCCCATACCTATCTATCGAGTGATGGACAGCAACGGGCGAATTATCGATAATAGAGAGGAGCCGAATATCGATAAAGAATCACTAATTAATATATACAGAAATATGATCCAGTTAAATCAAATGGATAAAATTTTATATGAATCGCAGAGGTAATATTATTTTATTCCTTTCTCATAAACGAATGTATTCTGCCAATTGTTAATATACATTTTGACAACAAATTTTAGAATCTGATTGCCGTGGTAAGAATAGCTAAAACTTTCAGACAAGGTCGCATTTCCTTCTACATGACGAACTACGGGGAGGAGGGTATACATATGGGTAGTGCTGCAGCCTTATCCCCCCGTGACTTAGTCTTCGCTCAGTATCGCGAGGTCGGAGTACTCCTGCACCGGGCTATCACCGTCTCCGAGCTGGTGAACCAGTGTTATGGCAATTGCGAGGACCCTGGCAAGGGAAGGCAGATGCCGGTGCACTATGGTAGCAAGCAACACAATATCGTGACAATATCTAGTCCTTTGGGTATGTTTGTGAACTTTTTATTTTCTTTTTAGTTTTAAAGTTTATTTGGGAATCAACCAATCTCAAGGAGAACTCTCGTCTTTTGTCAAGATTTCCTTCTTTAAAAATAACAGTAGACTGTTCAACTGTTCATTTTAATTACATGTTAAAATGTCTTCAAATCCCCAGCAACTCAGTTACCTCAGGCGGTAGGCGCTGCGTATGCACTGAAGCGTATGCCCAACAATGACCGCTGCGTCATTTGCTACTTCGGCGAGGGCGCAGCATCCGAGGGCGACGCCCACGCCGCATTCAACTTCGCCGCAACCCTTGATTGCCCCATCATTCTCATGTGGTATGAATAGATTGATACTTTATCAAACCGCTAATAACTTCGAACCTTATATACTTTTATTATATTCTTCTTTACATAATAGTAGAAACAACGGGTATGCGATCTCCACCCCATCAAGTGAACAGTACAGAGGGGACGGCATTGCAGCTCGGGGACCTGCCTTCGGCCTGCACACCATCCGAGTGGACGGCACCGACACGCTGGCGGTATACCGCGCGGTGGCCAGCGCAAGAGACCTCGCCATCAGTAACAAGCCCGTCCTCATCGAGGCCATGTCTTACAGGTAAAACCATAATACGCTTGAGCTTTTATAGCAGGTCAGGTTGTTAAGTGAATTTTAGACACCGAAATCGTAAGAAGTTTTCATGGTCAGAGGAGGGTAAAATATACAGGTTAAGTAGTCTAAAATAGACAAATGTGTTTACAGATTCTACTATTGTAATAATTTGCTTATGGATCTGTCTTCTTTTATCTTCTAGAGTTGGACATCATTCAACTTCAGATGACAGCAGCGCGTACAGATCTGTTGAAGAAATACAAAAGTGGGCTAAAGATGAAAGTCCTGTGCAAAAACTACGAATTTATCTCGAAGGCAAAGGTAACATTGTAATGCCATACCAATGTTGACGAGTGTATCTTCTCATAAAATAGTGAGAGATTGAGTTTTTTGGCAACTGTAGGCCGAGTTGGGGCGATCGCCCAGAGCGACGCGCATAAACGGGCGCCTCAGACGCCAAGGTCGCGTATAAAATGGCGCATGTGATGCCTCCTAAAATACCCTATCTTTGGAAGATTTCCCGTGAAACAAAAAAGGGCGCCGAAAAATCTAATTCAGGGCGCCTAAACTAGCCCTGCACTAGCTAATTACCTATATGTAGAATAACTTGCAAGATAATCTTTTATAGGATATTGGGACGCGGAGGCGGAAACGCAATGTGTGAAAGAGGCACGAGACTCGGTGGTCAGAGCGATGCAAGACGCTGAGAAAAAGAAGTTGCCTCACTGGAAGGAGATGCTAGAAGATGTATATTACGACATGCCACCCAAACTACAGTCGGTATTATATTTAATTAAAGTTGTTTTTTCACTTTTTTGCATGTCAAATTAAACTTTGTAGTCAAGATCGTGCATCGTTAATCATCTTTAAAGAAATTGTTTTTAAAAATCCTTTAGAAAATTATAAATATCAAGCATCAATTTCCTGAACAGTGTCGTACATAATGAACAAAACTATTTGATTTATACACTGGGATCTATTATTTACCATAAAGATCTCAAAGTTATTGACGAATCACGATTAATTTAAATTAGTATTCGTATGTTATTTTCAAAGTAATTTCATCGAATAGAATTTATATATTTAGTAAATAAAATTAATAATCAAATTTATTTCTAGGAAACAAATGAAACAAATGGAGAAACATCTCGAAAAGTATCAAGAACATTATCCGCTCAACAAGTATTTGAACGAATAAGTTATATTATTTGTATCGTTTCAAAAATCAGGAAGTCACAGAAGAAGTCTCATTTTTTATAGTCCAGTGTTTTTTTTTATAAATAAATGAATTTTGTTTTACTTTATTTTATTTTATGTATTTCTTTATAACTTTGTTTTTCCTAATGTCCTCGCAACTTTCTTGCGAAAAAGGCGCAAGATATAGCGGTATAGACAAGTAGCGATAGAAGCTAGATTTTTTTAATGAATTGTCTCCGAAAGAAAACGCTTTTTTGATTCAGCATATAATTAATGTAACTTGATAGAGCTCTACGTGAAACGGAATACGGTTTTGTCAATGGTTCTTTTGTCAAATTCTACTTTGTTATAGTTTATGGTTCTTTTACGATAAGAATTTTTATAAACATAAATGGAAGAAGAAAAAGAAATGGAAGTAGATTTAAGATTTGATATTTTTTTTACACGTACAGATGTTACAGTAGTTAAACTTTATAAAGACTTTGTCCTAGCAGGTTTGATTATATTTATTATAATACTTCACCCCGAATAAATTTAATGTACATGTTAATTTTGTTATAGTAGTTTTTTTATAGGTGCTATTATTTATTTAATTAGAGTTTACACATAATTTTAAAGTGATTTTTTTTAACAGTGGTAGAGCACGCTTTAACATAGTCGCACGAATTGGCCCGGCTCGCCCGGTGAAATACCACGACCAAACAGAAGACAGACGTGAAGTGGAAGAAATTCTGCGTTTCGTCTGAAGAGTGTGCGTCCCGGAGGCCTATTTTAGTCCTCTTTCCCTTTCCACCCTTTTCTTATAAGGAAATGATGGGTAGTGGAAGTCGACTTTCTGGATGAGGGGATGCATGGAAAGCGAAAATATTTTCTTTCTGTGCGTCCTCTCCTCCGTCGATTAAGGGTAGGCCACGCATATGCAATTGCATATGTCTATGGGCAACAGTCGCTTCAATTTCAGGTGGCCGCTTGCTTGTTTTGCCACTATATAAAAAAATAATAATAATTTTATCATACAGCTAGATTAGTTAGTTAGATCGTAACTACCATATTGTACATTCTTTTAAGACAAACAAAAACAATAAAATGTTGGCAATTAAAATAGCTATGTTGTTCACAGGAATTGGTAGCTCATTTCATATTTATAAGAAGGATACTTTAAAAGTTTTTTCAGTTTTTAATAAAATACTTCATGGTCAAAAAATAAATGGGATTGAGCCTTCTAAAGATGGTTTGAACATGTTTATATATGGTGGTAAGCACTTTACAATTGTAAAGAGATTAAACGGACAGTTTGAGTCAATTGATATTTGTCTGGGGAGTACTGTTTGTGATGACTGGCTGCATAGTGGAACTTGGTTGTCTGATACGGAAGTTGGATTACTATCAGCACATAATGTAGTTCAGGTAATATTAATATTTTTCCATACAAATCTACTATACATATAAATAAAATCAGAGTGGTCTTTTTGGAGCTGATAGTGAAAATGTTTTCATTTTTTATATTTATCTGTATGTCCATCTGCTTGGCCATGTTTGTTCTGGGCAATATCTGGAACGGCTAGATCGATTTTGACGAGACTTAGACGGAAAGGTAACTGATACATGTAGACATAGGCTACTTACTATACTTCTGCACTCTCCAAGTGACCGCTACTTACAGATTAAAAAAAATAACACATTACATTCTACTGTGATTTAAGACAACATCAATGTGAGTCCATGACATTTGTGTTTGTTAAGATGCTTAGTGTTTAGTTATTTTTATAAGTTTAGATAAAGAAATGTAAGTCAATGTATAATTTTCAGATATGGGACGTATCTGGGCGACCTATTCTTCGATCTGAAACAATTGGCAGAGATAACTCAATCCTGTACAGTGGACTGTTGCTACCTTTACTTGATGATGTCCTGGTACTCAGCGGCACTGTGTCCTCACAAATTATCATATCTCGATGTAAAAAGGAACAACCTCTTCATTATCTGCTCGGACATAAAGTATGTTATTTTAACTATTACATTGATATAAAATCATGTGGCTATTTTTTTTTTAAATTCGAATATAGTTAAATTATTAAGAAATATCTGAATTTTTAAATATTCATTGAGGTGAAAATTTTATTAAAAAAAATATCATTAAATATTATTAATTTTGTGCAATTTAAATCAGCTTTTTATTACTTTTAAATCTATAATAATAATTAATATTTGTTTTTTATATTACAGGGTGTTATATTTTCCATATCATGTTGTTTAAAAAAAAAAATTATCGTGACAACATCTGACGATAGATCTGTAAGGATATGGTCAGTTTATAATTCTATTGAAAATTATGCGAAATCACAATATTGGGATGATGCAAATGTAACTTGTTTACATGAACTTTACGGTCACTCTGCTAGAGTTATGAGGAGTTGTATCAGTGAGAAATATATAGTTTCTGTTGGTGAAGATGGATGTATTTGTTACTGGGATTATAACGGTACTTTGCTAAAAAGATTAAGCAACCATCAAAATGCTCCGATATGGTCAGTTAGTATCGATAAAGACCATTTAGTGACGGGCGGTGGTGATGGTTCAATTATACTACACCCTTTAACTGCAATTACTTCGTTCTCTGAGACGGAGACAGTAAAAATAAGTGAGGGTAATCCAAAAAAAATATTTTTCACTGCCAGAAGGAATGCTGTTATTTTAAAAGAGTCGGGTAATTTAATATACTATAATATATTTGAAAAAGAAGAAATAGAATTTGACCTAAAACATGACAACACTTACATACTGATAAGTTTATCATTGTGCAAACAAATAATAGCGGTTGCAGATATTTGTGGAAATTTAACTATATTTATAGAAAATTGTAAAGGCACACCTACAATGACTAGTATAATCAGTACTAAATTACCCATAGATAAAATTTTGTCTATGGATTGGGCTGGGAATAGACATTTAGTAATTTGCTCCGGAAGTGGTGATATATATGTTATCGCATCCAAAGATAATGAAGTGGAAATAATCTCAAAACATTTACTTCCCGATTGCAAAGAAAGATGGTTAACAGCTGTTGCTCTGAACATTGACAATATGTTAGTTGTAGGCGACAGATGTGGTAATATACATTTTTATACAAAAGAAGAATTGAATCCATTTAAAACACTTAATAAAGTCCATGGTAGATATGGTCCTACATCTATAAGAATTAAATCCAATGAAGTAATAACAACTGGAAGGGATAGTACATTAAAATGTTTCTCTTTATTGCTAAATAATGGCGTTTATAATATAAAATTGACAAGTACAAAAGATGTAGGTTTTCCATGGGTAGAAAAATGTATAGGTCATGATGATTTATTCTGTGGTTTCCATGAACAATTATTTATTATAACGAATGTAAGAAATTATGCAAAGCTAATTGAAGTATCCTGCGGTGGTGGCCATAGATCTTGGGATGTAGTACGTTACATAAACTATTTAAATTTTAAATGTGACGAAATGATTAAGTTTATGTATTTAAAAAATTCCGATATAAATATAATGACTTTCAAATTAAATAAAATTGTATCAAAAAATATTATAAAAGGTACACATACTAAAGAAATTAACTGCTTGAAATGTTATATACCAAAGATTGATAATTCTATAGTATTGTTTATATCTGGTGGTGAAGATACGACATTAAGAATATCAACTTCATCGAAAGAAGTAAATTTCCAAGATGAAGTTATTTTAAAACATTTATCAAGTGTAAAAACTTTTAAAACATTCCCAATAAATACGAATAAACTGTTAGTTGTGTCTGGTGGAGGCAGAGCACAGATTTGCATAAAAACTATAAATCTTAGTAAGGACGGTGACAAAATTATAATAAAAGTTGAAGAATTCGTTGACTTTTTAGTCAAAGGAACAGATAAAGAACGCAAAGGTGATAAAACTTGGAGAAACTGTACAATTGACTTCGATCCAGAAACAAGAATAATGGATTTAGAAATTGTCGAAATAGACAAAAATATTTTTAACATATATACAGGATGTTCTGATGCGTTTATAAGAATTTTTCAATTTAAATACGAAGAAGAATCTTTTAAACAATTAGGACAAGTGAAATATCATAAAACTTGTATATTAAAAACACACTGTATAAAATATTTTGACCAAACAATACTAATAACTTGTTCAACAATTGGTGAGATTTGCTTTTGGGATGTAACGGATCCTAACACATCAAGTGAAATGGAAAATTTTCTTGTTTTAACAAGTAATAAATCCGGTATAAACTGCATAGCGACAAGAATTATTTCTGAACACAAAGTTATAATTGCAACCGGAGGTGACGATAACGCCATACATATCCAACTTCTTGATATACAAAATAAAGATTTTAAAACTGCAAAAATAACACAAAGTTGGTCATCGGATCAATTTCATAGTTCGCAAATAACTGGAATTTTAATTATCGATGATTTTTTCATATCAACATCTATCGATCAGAGAATAACAGTTTTTAAAACGATAGATGAAAATAATGATTTAAAATTTGTCGCACAAAAGATGACCGATATCGCTGATGTACAAGGAATGGATTTTATACAACGCTCAGAGTAAATATTTATAATTTGAATTATTATATTATTTAATTACTATCTATTTCGAACTGATATATAAACACGGCTAAACACTCACGTATATACGTCCGGTGGCGGCACCGACTTGTTTCGAGCCCATCGGGGTCCTTTATCTGGATGAGTGGGACTGGTATTATTTCGCGGACGCGGCTCGTCGCTAGTCGGTGCCGCCACCGGACGAATATACGTGAATGTTTAGCCGTTTTTATATCAGTTTATTATTATGTCTTACGAAAGTTTGAATAATATAATCTATCTATTTCAGATATTCAGCAACTGTTTGCGTTTATGGGAAAGGTTTAGAAGTTTTATCAGTACCATTGTTAGGACGATATTAATTTCAAAATATATCAAAATTGGTAAGTAAAGTTTTTATTGAATATAGATTAGTTATTTTATTTATAGATTTATCTGAATCTGTTTTTATTATCTTTTAAGTAAAAAATATATTGAAAACAACACTTACATGTAATAAATTTAACGCAATTTTAATAATTTATACTGTCGAAGATTCACCATCGAATCTATACTATTATAAAGCGGAAGAGTTTGTTTAAACGCGCTAATCTCAGGAACTACTGGTCAGGTTTGAATTTTTTTTTGTTGGTTAGTCCATTTATAGAGGAAGAAAGGCTTTAAGCTATATAACATTATGCTGAGACCAATAGTTTTTTTTTACATTCAGAATTATTACAGAACTGATCAGATTTATAGAGCCCATGTAACTGAACGAAAGATTCGCCTCATTTTACTTCACGAAGGACCATAAGGAGTGACAAAATGTTCTAAATAGGACAAGTTACTAGATAAAAAAAACCCCGACCTACACAATCTTTGCTATACATATTTAAAAAAATCATTTTTAACAGTGGTAGAGCTCGCTTTAACATGTTCGCACGAATTGTCCCGGCTCGCCCGGTGAAATACCACGACCATACAGAAGACACGCGTCAAGTGGAAGCTATTCCAAGTACAGTCTGATGAGTGTACGTCCCGGAGGCCTAATGTAGTCCTCTTTCCCGTCCCATCCTTTTTCTTATAAAGAAAGGATGAGAAGTAGAAGAGGTCTTTCCGGATGAGAGGATGCATGGGAAGGGAAGATATTTTCTTTCTGTGCATCCTCTCCTCCGTCGATTAAAGGTAGGCAACGCATATGCAATTGCGTATGTCTATGGGCAACGGTCACTTCGCTATTTCAGCGATTTCAGGTGGCCGCTCGCTCGTTTGCCATCTTATGATATAAAAAAAAATCATACAAGGAAAATATAAATTAAATTCAATTGTGTTCGGTGATAATAGAATCATATCGCAACTAGTAGAAGATATCGCATGCGATCTGCACAATGATATGCCATCAAGATATAGTCAGAGTGGATTACGAGAGAGACAATATGTTTGTTTAGATTAGCTACAGAAAATCACAATTGTTATGTATTTTAACGTAATCCATCTGATAAATAATGGAAATTACTAGAATTGTGTTAAATACAATTTGTTACATTTGAGGTTATGTAATTGTTTACATAATTAGGGTTGACTCAAAGGATTATAAAAACAGAGTCAGAATATAATATCGATATTTTATAATATTTAGTTTTTATTCTATTTCAGCATTTTATCACTCATATATGGATAGACAACGTATATAATAAGCGTAGATTCATATATAAAAATGAATATTTAATTCTTTTGCGAATCGATTTTTTTTTACATAGAAATGAAATTCGAGCATCTGTTTTTGATGATGTGTTTTATGCAAGAATAATGTCTTCAATTTCTTCATCCTGTACAAGATCGAAGTGTTTTTAATAATCTCTGTATTTACTTATTTAATTCCAATGAATAAATGTATGTTTATAATCATTATAAAAGTAGATTGAACAAATGTGTGTTTTCTCTTTCCTATATTAGCCTGAATTATTTTACTCTTTATTATAGAGCGTCAATGGCTCAGGGGTTAAGCACTTGATTTGCAATCTGCAGGTCCTGGGTTCGAATCCCGCCATGTACTAATGTTTTTTCATTTCCGATTTACATATGTGCATTTATCAGACGTTCTAACGGTGAAGGATAACATCGTGATGCAGCATATATCTGAGAAGTAATTCAAATATATGTGTGTGTCACTCTGCACTTGGCCAGCTTGGTTGACAATGGCCTAATCACCCTTAAGGTAGGCTCCGAGCCCCTCAGTGGGGACGTATAGTGAGCTGATGATGATGATGATGATTTTTTTCTTTTTGTCTTAATCAAAGTTTATTAATGATTGCTTGAAAATAGTTCTGCAGACTTCTCATACCAAATCTCCACTTAAGGACTTCCTCAGTGATAATTTGAACTCTAAAGCAGATAATGGTGGCTTGGATGTTCTTTATGACATAAGGGGTTTTTAATATACATTTTTTTTTTAATTTTGCAATCCATAGGGGTCTATGTGAATATTAAAAACTACAAATTAGAATCAGAAATGATCAGAGCACTCCACACTTTATCTGAGCAGTAAAGTTGATCTTTATATTGACGTACGATATACATATGACATTTGCTAAGATTAGATAGAAGAGTTGCAGATGCTATATCTGCACAAAACATCTCGATGTCTCATCAGTCATAACTAGACAGTGTTTGTGACCATTTAGTTGCAGTTTGAACTTCGATTATTGTAAGTATAATTTTAATAATCAACTTAAGTAAGATGAATGCCTTGGCCAAAAGAAAGTTTAATTTGGTATAATGGTCAGATAAAAAAAATATTAGTGTTACCCTAGAGTCCCAGATTCATGTTATTTTAGCGAAAATTCGTTGGCCAAATCAAAATTTTTTCGACCAAATGTAAACAATTTTTTTTGTACCAGCAAAAAAATGACAGTAGTTGTGATGCATAAAACCTAACGAAAACTTTTCTAGATAATTAAAAAAAAAACTGAAGCGCTCTAGCGACCAAACTGTAAACGACTTTTCCAGACATCCTGTATAACCTTAAACTAATCAACGTGTTGAATGGAATCTCACAGAGGTTTAAATAATTTTTAAATACGATTAGTTTATTTTTCATTGCCATGAGGTAATGCGGAAAGTTATTTAGTATACGAGTGTTGATAAAGTATTTCACATTTATCTTTATCTAATCTATATCTAGTTGCTACATAATATAATGGCGTATTTATTATCTATTTTATATGTTATTATTATTATTGTTTTAACCAAAATGTTTAAATATTTCCATTTGTTTCACTGTCGAGTCACTTGTACAGATAATCTTATCTCTGTTTTTACATCAAAATGAAGGAGCTCCACAATCTTTTTTGTACATTTTTGTGGCCACTACAATTCGCCAAATTAGCAAAGCTACCACCGTCACTCCTCCATCAAATCCCCTATTCTTTATAAGAAAAGGGTGCGAAGGCCTTCGGAACTACACTGATCAGACGAAATGCGGAATAGTTTCCACTTGACACGTCTTTTTTGTGCAAATAATGCGGACGGTGTGTTTCGGCATGGGTGATGATCTACGTAAATAGGTTCCGTTTTTGAACGTTAAAATATGAAATCTAGTCTAGGTATTCATAAGTCTATGTCGGTACAATTAACATGTGAGTAAGCATTTTTACTTTGAAATATAATTGACCTCGAACTGTAAAATATGTTTTATAGAATTAATTAAATTCCATCGAATCTCCGGAGGCAAGAAAATCCCCGTTTTTGTATGACATGTGTGTATGGGAAAACCGACTAGCGGAATGATTGATGAATGCTTCAACTTTGGTTTCTTTTTATTATTGACATGATCATAAAGAAGGAAATAGACCATAGCCATATAACCTTAAAGATGGAGTTGGGGTGTTTCATACAAGTTTGACGTCTAAACGAGAGTCGATTTCCGAACGTCTTTTTCGAAAATTTACCTCCACAAAAGGCCTCTCGAGGCCGTTTTTCGCCTTACTTTTGTGTTCCTTAAGTTGTCTACGCGAAGGATATTTAATTTGAAGAGGAAACTTATAACAATTACAAGAGAAGGTTAGAATATTGACTTATAAACAAATTTTAGGAAAGGTCATTGTACTGTATTAGCACAGAATAATCAAAATAACCATGGATGTAAACAGCGTTACTAAATAACTCCCAGAACATGTGTTTTATCATGTCTATTTCCTTATTACGTAACCAAGGCAATTAAAGAGACAAATAACATTCAGTTGTAAACGTCCTCGCCGTGAAGGCGGGCTTGTTTCGCGCGCTTTTCTAATCTGAGCCAGTTGCCAGTTAAAAAAATAATATCGGAGCTGTTACGTTGATTACGATCGATAAAGGTTAGATAAGTTTTAGATTATAGCTTATGGCTGATATAATTTGAGTATAATTTATTTAGTTTTCTTTTAAAACTGCAAGGAAAATCGTGAGTACGAATCTTATGTTGTTAACAACCACTGGTGTATATGTCTAATGTAAGAAACGCGACAATCTAATTTGTAAGAAATGCAAGCTGGGTTTCTGAAACCAAAGTCAAAGATGAAAGATAAGGATGAAGATATTTTTAGACAGAGATATAGGTGTCAGAAACCCATGGTAAAAGTACGAGAAGTACTTAATGCCTCAAAAACTATTTAGTACCTAATAAAATATTTTAAGTAACATCTAAATACATTTTTAGGATGTAATTTTCGAAATTCCAGATGGCGCCACAAGTGACAGCGGTGACGGAGCCGGTGACGCTGGGCGAGGGCCCGCACTGGGACCATAGAGAACAGGCGCTCTACTTCGTTAGCATTTTTGACCGCTCTATCCATAAATACGTTCCTGCCACAAAGAAGCATACGAGATCTGTTCTAGGTAGCCTGTCACTTTCACGTTTCAGCGATTATTCATATGTGTGAATGAGACGGCTGTAGAATCCTGATTACATGACGTTTTGGGATTGAGGGACGAGATAAGATGAAGAGCAAAAACCGAGGGAACATTTTCGAATCTTCTGATTCTAATTTACGACACAAAATTCATTTTATTTAAATTATATTTTTGTATTCAGGCAGTAAAGTAAACTAAACCTTGAATTTTCACGCTCATCAAGACCGTCTGAAGGCCAAACATATTATAATTTGAAATAGGATGGTATTTAAATGGCTTCTTCGATAGTCGTATGGTAATTTTTGCAGTAATTTGCCGAACACGATGATAAAGAACTCCAGATTAATAAGTTTAATACTTGAAATTAAAGTAAAATTATAGTTGCGTAAATTATTACTTTCTTTATTAAACTAATTATACTTATAATGTCTAAATAGACAGGATATTATTGTAAATAATTTAATTCCTTACTATTTCTCTTTATAGATGACTTAGTAGCCTTCATAGTGCCAATAGAAGGTAAACCCAACCACTTTGTGGTTGGTATCAAGCGCCTTATAGTCGAAGTAGTCTGGGACGGTCAGGATGGTACCGCTAAAGTCATCCGTACTATCGCAGAGATAGACAAACATAACCCCGAGAACAGACTCAATGATGCCAAAGCTGATCCTAGAGGACGACTATTTGCTGGTAAATATATAAAGTGACAGATAAAAGCGCGGGAATTTCTAAAAAAATATATTTGTAAGATTTTCTGTAAATTTTGATCATTTTCACAAAAAAATAGGAAGGGGAAGTGGATTTGACAGAGAAATAGGACGGATAATTATTTCTGTGCGTTCTCTCCTCTGTCGATTCAAGGTACGCAAAGCATCTGCAATTGCGTATGTCTATGGGCAGCGGTCGATTCGCTATTTTGTAAAATTCAAGTAACTGCTTACTTGTTTGGCACCCTATAATTAAAAAAGAGTTACCCAAAACTTAATTTAGTACACTTATGAGTGAAACTGTACAGCTTTTCGTAACATCTGATATTACCATCTCACTCATTCTCTTTGAAGAAAGAAAGACAACAATTTTCGCATAAACTGTACAGTCGTACACATAAGTGTACAAAAAAATTGTAAATAAAATAGCAGTTTTATATTATAATTCCAGGTACAATGGGCTACGAATATGAACCTGGCAAATTCTATCACAAGAAAGGTGCATTATACCGCATCGATCCAGACGGCAAAGTGCACACATTAGCTGAAAACATCGATATCTCTAACGGACTTTGCTGGGATATTGAAGAAAAAGCGTTTTATTACGCGGACTCATTTGAATATGCGATCAGACGATACGATTATGATATTGAAACTGGTGATATTTGTAAGTTAAAATAACTAATCTTTTAAGTTATTAATTCCGCTTATTCTTTTATTAGTAACTAAGAAAGAGTTAATGAACATTTTTCTAACTTAATTTCAACGTGAGATTACCTACTCAACGAGGATGACTGCGGCTGTTAAAGTTTTAGTTAATTAAGCAATGAATTTTTTGTTCAAGTTTTCTAATTTCATCTTATTCATTTTTTTTAGCAAATCCAAAATTCGTATTCAACTACAAGGACCACGGTTTGGAGGGAATTGTCGATGGTATGACCATAGACACGGAAGGTAACCTTTGGGTTGCCAACTTCGACGGTCATCAGGTAAATAAGCGATAATTTTTTTTATAATAGGAATACGAACCCTAATGTAAAAACTGAAATTACAACGTAAAAGCTTCCTAGTTTTTTTTTTTCAATAAATTTTAAGCTAAAATTTCTTATAATTTTATTCCAGGTTATAAAAATCGATCCGAAGAAAGGCAAACTTCTCCAGAAGATTCGTATCCCAGCTCTTCAAGTGACCTCCGCAACATTCGGAGGTCCAAACATGGACATTTTGTACGTGACGTCAGCGTGTATGAACCGCGGTGTGGAACAGAAGCCCCCTTGCGGGTCTACATTCCAACTGACAGGTCTCGGAGTTAAAGGTCACCCGAACGCTAATGCCAGATTTAATTAAAATTATTGTGATTATATTTTGTTTTTGTTTTATTAATTAATAAATTTAAAAAAATACTTATCAAGTTTTTTTATTACCCTCGGTCGCTTTCAACTTCGTCAGCCCAAAAAATGCCTATATGTCCGCGTGTATCAGCTCATGCTACCTTTTAGTTAAAGTCTGGTCAAAATCGGTCAAACCTTTTCGGACATTACTCAGAAAAAACGCGGCCATGCGGACTGACAGACAAATATATTAAAAATAATATTAGTAAGATTGGTTTTTCGTTATCAGTAACCTAAATACAGCATGTTTACGAAACATTTTTTAAAAATATTAAATACAGACTCCAATTTTATTATACATATATAAATCTGCTCAAAAATAACGATTCAGATGACCCACTTTAAAATTATAACCTTAAACTATTTAAACTTTTTGCAATACTTTGATTAATATGTCGATTAAGTTTCGCCCTAAAGGCAGTATACTGGTACACGTTAGGCAAATTCTATGCTATACAAATTGTGCTTGCTTCTAGGTATTACCGTCGATTATTTTGTCGCAATTATGTAACAAGTTCAAGATATCCTTAAACAACATTTAAGCACATCGGCTCGTGGTGACTTGTAGGAATCTTGCAGATAATCTAGTCAAAATTATCTATATTTTTTATTATTATAGTAATACAATGAAGGTATTATTTACTATCGAGCTGTATATGGGATGTGTCGATTTTACAGTATACAGGTACAAAAATCTTGAATAGATTTTATTTAATGGACCTATGTATTTAAATAACAATAGAATGAATAATAATATTAATATATGGTCACTGTGCAATCAAAAATATTACAAGTAAACTAAAGTATAATATATATATAGCTAACTATGGAAGACATTGGGAAAGACCAATAGTGAGCAGATAAAGGCTGATGACGTTTACAAAATATCTTCTCTGGCATCTTCCAAACATTGTATCACAAATCTGTCCGGTGTTATGGGAACGTATTTAGACAGATATGTCATTTAATTAAAAAAAATTGCAAAAATTTGTAACATCATGTATACGTATATGTATATGTATACGTATAAAGTTGATTAAGTATGATTTATCATGAATTCGTCATATAAATCAAGTCAATCATCGTGCTAATTATATTTTTCAACAGTTTAATACAGTGAACCTTTGGCATCGGTGATAAAGTGACACCATCAAGTGATTACACTTTCTGTTTTTTTTATTAGAATATTTTAACCTCTGATATTTAATATTAGTAATTTTAAAATTCAAGAACAATTAAGTAAGTAACATAATCAACTAACACATTATGATTCTGTCATAAAGTTGACCACTTTTGTATACTGAATAAACCATCTCTTCACCAGGATCCCATCTGATGGTGATGAGGTCGAAATATTGTACGCACTAACTTAGTTAATGCCTATTTTCTCTGGCATCCACGCTATAATGTTTAGTGTGGAAGCACTGACATTGTTAACTTGTTCCAATTCCACTCTTTTGTACACAAAATAGATTTAATGTTAACTCTTGGTCAACCCGGTACCGCCGACGCCCACGCGCGGTCGCAAATTGCGATATGTCATTCTTGCTTGCACGGGCGGATGGCGTGCGGTCCGAGAGCGGGTGCATCGTCCACTCACAACGCGGCTATTGGGTTAATGGCGAATGGACGCCGCCCCAACTCCTCCCTGATCACGCTTCGTCCACCCGTGCAGAAATGATAAGACGTTTTATTAACTTTACCCCGTTTCATCGGCGAACGTCGATCCGGTGACGATTGGATGCCGCGGCGACCGCCTGGCGAAGAGTTGACAAGTCGGCGTTAACCCTTCAAATTTGCATAGTAACTAGATCAATGAAGGGGACCGTGGATCAAATTTATCAGAAGTATACAGAGGAAATCTAAAGGCTGTCGTACACGGATTCCAAGCAGTCGGTACTGATTAAAGTTTTAAATATTTTCAGTACCATGGCACCCGTAACTGAAGCTGTGCTATCTATGTCATTCGGCGAGGGCCCGCACTGGGACGTTGAGGAACAAGTCCTGTACTATGTCAACATCCTCGACAACTCAATCAACAAATACAACCCGGCGACCAGAGAAAAAACCTGTGCAGAGTTTGGTAATTTAATTTCATAATTTAAGGATCCTTTTTCATAATGACCGAGTAAAATGCTGGATACCTAAATTATAAATAAATTAACTGTACAAGGTTAACTCTAACTAATACTACTCGCTGTGAATATTAGTTTGCGTTGACAAATGAGTTCAAAATAGTTTATTCAGGAAAGAAGGTCCTTGTGTGAAGTCATTGTGAAATAGACCTTTTTAGATTAGTAGTTTTCGCATCGTGATGCAACGTCCACAAATCGGCGGATAAATTTAAAGATATGTGTGAAGTCAACCAAACCGAATTTGGCAAGCGTGGTAACTTAAGGTAGACTTCGAGCCTCTCAGTAGGTCAGAGTCAGGGGACGTATAGTGAGCTGATATGATGATAATGTTTTTGTTACCGTTACGATTATTCTCTGTTAATGTTAATATTTAGAAATCTGTATTTCATCTGTGAGTTTCTATGAAAATATTTATTATACCTCTCACTAACTTAAGCAATGTTTTATCAACTTTTATATTTGACAACAGTAACTCAATTTCCAGATGAGCACGTATCATTTATAATACCAATCGAAGGCAAAAAAGATCATTTCCTCGGTGGAATGAAAAGGAACATCGTCGAAATAGAATGGAACGGTGAGAACGACACCGCCAGAGTTGTCAGAGTTGTGGCTGAAGTTGACACCGACAAGCCAAGCAATATCCTCAATGACGGCAAAGCAGATCCTAGAGGGCGATTGGTGACTGGTAAAATTATTAGTCCGATAATAATATATTTAACAATTTTAATTTAGATTTAAACAAAATACATTTAAGAAAAAAAAACTCAAAACGAATGTAGCAAAAACTTAAAAGATTCAAGTTACAAGTTGAAGGTCACATTTAAAGAAGTTTTGTTACATGAAAGAGATGGAAGATAGAATTAACCAATAGAAAGAGAGATATAGTGTACTCGTAAACTCTTTACCAAGCCAAAAATAAAGAAGAAGAACCCTTTACCAATCCTAAGTACACGACTACGTCTGCGCGGTATTGAAAAAAAAAACAAAAGTTGTCTATGTGTTCTTCTAGACTTTGTTCTACAGTAGCTTAACGTTCTTATATTGAATTTATTTGATTGTTTTCAGGTACATTAGGTTTTAAATCTGGGTCAATAGGTATTGATAATATTTTCCGTGAAAACGGCTCAATATACCGTTTGGATGAAGATGGACAGGTTCACAAATTGGATGACAAGATCACCCTCGCCAATGGTCTGGCGTGGGATACTGAAAGGAAATACTTTTATTATGTCGACACTATGGATGCTATTAGAAGATACGATTATGACATCGACACTGGAAATATATGTGAGTCATTTACTGTCGGCCGCGGCTCTGTCCGCGCGGGATTAAAAAAAAACTTAATTAGTAGTCTACGTGTTCTTCCAGACTATGTTCTACATCTATGCCAAATTTGCAGCCGTTTTGGAGTACCGTGTAACAAACATCCATCCATCCAAACAATCGCATTTATAATATTAGTAAAATTATGTTAATTAATTAATTATTTATGTCTTACACATCGTCTTAATGCTACGTTGTTTTTTTGTGTTGAAGATAAATAGTTAATTTGGAATTATTGTCAGATAAATTCGTCTTTTTATAGTTGTCTGCTTTGAATTGCCGTTGTTCGTATTTGCGTAATGTTTTATATTTTTTGTTTTATGACAATAAAACATTAAAATCAATTAGATTTATTGTAAATAGTAATTTTAATTAAATAATTATTATCTGACAGCAAACTGTCAAAAAATATTTGTCGCATCAGAGCACGGGTTTAAAGGACATTGCGACGGTATGGCCATAGACACGGACGGTAATCTATGGGTGGCTCTATTCCAATCCAGTAAGGTAAATTAACTTTTTTAATGGAATAAAAAAAATATATTTGAAAAAATTATTCTACTTAAATTATATATTCATCCAGGTTATAAAAATCGAAGGGGAAACAGGTAAATTGCTTCAAAAAGTCACCATCCCTACGAGCGAAGTAACATCAGTTGCGTTTGGTGGACCTAACTTGGACATCCTTTATGTGACGACAGCCAACACACGGTGCAAGAAGAACGAACCTGTGTGGGGCGCGGCCCTATACGAGGTCACAGGCCTCGGCGTCAAAGGACTTCCAGCCTTAAAAGCTAAAATAAATTAAAAAACACTAGTTACATTGTGTTTTAATTACTATTCGAGTTGTTTTAAATTCCTAAGTTCCCTTAATTGTAGGTAATCATTGAATACGTTTTTTTTAATAAATACAAAGCACCAGTAATATAACGCAGATTTTAATAATGCTCGCTTAATCTTATCACATCTTCTAAATACTCAAAATATGTTATTGCCATAGGAATAATTATATCTTACTAATATTATAAATGCGAATAGATGGATGGATGTTTGTTCGAAGGTATCTCCGGAACGACTTACGGATCTCGCTGAAATTTGGCATAAATAGAACATAATCTGGAAGAACACATAGGTTACTTATTAAGTTTTTTTTAATTCCGCGCGGACGGAATCGCGGTCGTCAGCTAGTGTTTTATACAAATAACGCAATCATAACAATTTTATACTACGATTTGTGTCTCCGTATTAGATTAAAATTGTACACAAGTAAGATAACGGCTATGTTTTGAGGTTATATTACACGCTGACATATATTTTTTTTATGATGATTAGTCAAACATTTATCATCATCAAAAGTGGACGCGTTTACATTTTAAGATAAGTAAGTACGTTTCTTACAATAATTACTTAGTTATCTTCGTTATATTATAAATGTGAATGTTTGGATGTATGAATGTATGGATGTTTGTTAGACGGTATATTCAGAACTGCATGCATCTCGCTGAAAATTAGCATAGATGTAGAACATAGTCTAGTCATAAGCTACTTAAGTAAATTAAGGGTAATTAAGATATTTTATACCGCGCGAACGGTGTCGCGGGCGAAAACTAGTTTTTTATAAAATACTAGCATGACTTGTACCCAACATGATTTGCAAAACCCAAATAAAAAATATCAACTCTCTATGTTCAAAACATCAAACTAAATCGTTATCATATCTGTCCAGTGGTTTAGGAACGCATACGGGACAAACATACAAACATTGAGTTTACTTATATCTAAGCAGTTTTAGATATTAATAATTAGAATCATTTGGCGCGAATGCCGCGTTCTCATTACAAAGCCAAGTGTCAGAATGATTAGTGAGGGGAAAAGTCGACATTTTAGTAAGGCTAGTGTTGTGCCAGTAAACCGGCAGAGTTTCGGATTTTCTTCCTAACAGTATATAGATACTTTGATCGTTAGAAGATAGAATAGCAACCTACAGCGAATTGTTATTTTTTTCAGGACCAGGAGAAAGAGAAATCAAAACAATCCGATTACTAAAAAACTTCAAAATCGGTACATAATATTCCGAACAAGTAAATAATCAAATCTCCTTTTACCTGCCTAACATTTTACTCTTATAGTTCAGAGAAATTCTAACTAGCTTTCTTCGTCTACCTAAATGTTAATTTGATGATTCCAGATTTTTAAACTAATATAATCAAAGTGTCATCGCAATGGTGGCTACGATAAAAGCAGTACAGACTATCAGCTTTGGCGAGGGTCCGCACTGGGATGTAGACGAACAAGTCTTGTACTATGTTAACTTCCTAGACAACACAATCAATAAATATAACCCAGCAACCGGACAACACACTAAAACTAAACTGGGTAAACAATTTACTTGCGTAAATACCATTGTAATTAATAGCATAAATTAAATCCTAGCTAACATTAAATATAGTCACTTCAATTATTTTAAACATTTAATTAATTAATTTAATTTAATAATATATTATCCTGGAAGTGACTCTTCTCCGATTAACGAATGAATGACATCATTGAATTTCATTAATTAATTTAAACTTTATTGATTTAATTATTATAACACTAATTCATTTGTTAACCTTATTCTTAATATATTACATTTCATATAAAAAATATGCAAAATATATTATATTAAAAATAGAGCACCACCGGCTGTGGAGTCCCATGACTCAAACAACCAGTGGTCACTGCTGCAGAAACAGGAACCTTCTCACGATGCGTGCGGTTTCTAGGATAACTGCCTTTTGTATCGGGCCCTTAATCCAACTGTTTAGAATTAATTAATTAAATTATTAATTAATTAAATTATATCAACATGAATAGCCCCGTACCCAAACACATTCACTACATTCGTGATACCGATCGAGGGAAGAAAACATCGCTTCCTGTGCGGGATAAAGCGTGACATTGTCGAAATAGAATGGAAAGGGGACAACGATACCGCAGTGGTCGTGCGGACTATTGCCACTGTCGAAAAGGACCGACCTGAAAATTTCTTAAATGACGGCAAGGCAGACCGCAAGGGACGTTTAGTCACAGGTGAGGTGAACATTTTGATAGCTTAAAGATTAAAAAGGCTAGTATAAAGTATTAAATATATTTAAAACCAAAGTTTGACACCTATTTAAACCTTTTATAATGTACATATCGTCTTCATTTACCTGCATGAAGCTCCTATATTAAATGCAGTTTGAAGTCACTCTATCCTTCATTCTTCGATTCTTATCAAATATATAGATAAAGATATACTTCTTGTAGGAACATTAGGTGGAAATTGTCACAGTGAAACCCTGGATAACATGATTGTCCCCGAAAAAGGTTCTTTATACAGAATGGATAGCGATGGCTCCACACACAAGTTGGATGAAAAGATCACCATATCTAATGGGTTGGCGTGGGATGGAGAAGGGAAGACCTTGTACCTTGTGGACTCTATGGACTGTATTAGAAGATACGACTACGATATTGAGACGGGAAATATATGTAAGCACTAGTGGTCGCGACTCCGTCAACGCGAAATGAAAAAAAATAATAGCCTATGTGTTCTTCCAGACTATGGTCTAATTCTACGCCAAATTTAATCGAAATCCGTTGAGCCGTTCTGCAGATACCTTCAAACAAACATCCATCTATTCATTCAAACATTCGCATTTATAATATAACTAAGTTATAAATTATAACAAAAAATGGAAGGCATTTTTAAATTGTATATTTCTTTTGAAATTCAAATACGTGTTCCAATAATAATAACGAATTTATTTTCTATTGCCAGCAAATAGTCAAAAATTATTTGTTCCGAGAGATCACGGGATTAGAGGAATATGTGACGGCCTGACCATAGACACGGATGACAACCTCTGGGTTGCCGTATATCAAGGGGGTCAGGTACAAATATTTAATTTCAGCTATAAAATAGCTATAAAATAAAGTATAGATTTAGGTATTTTATCGACATAAATATATTGTAGAATTAATCAATTTACTTATAAAAAAGAAAAAACATATATTTCCAACTGTAACCACGCCATAATTATTAATCACTTTAAAAATCGTTGTAACAGTTTTTTATTTGTCGTTTTTTTACAGATATTAAAAATTGACGGCAAAACGGGCGACATACTTCAAAAAGTGACAATGCCAACGAGTGATGTGACGTCACTGACCTTCGGCGGACCGAATTTAGACATTATTTATGTTACATCTAGCAATATTCAATGGCAGAGGAACGAACCTGTGTGGGGAGCTGCTATTTACGAGGTCAATGGACTGTCTGTACGAGGATATCCTGCATCTAAAGTTCGATTAAACAGTTGAAATCAATTTTGTATTTTCATTAATTTTATAGAACAAAAATGTAAAAGTTACGTAAGCATGTGCTTGTAATTTTTGTTACCAAAATATACTAAATAAAAAATCATTTCAGTACAAATATATATAATATTATCAGCAAGGAAGAAATAATGTTACGTGTCACAACTTCAAATTGATTTAATATAATATATTTGATAAAATACTTATATATTCATTATCTATTTTGATAACTCGTAATAAAAAAAATACATTAATTAGTCGATCATCTTCTATCCACAAGTGATAACTTTACGTTGAGGTAATTCAGATATCTAATATTCTTATTTTGTGTTGAAGTGTTGTGTTGTGTTGTTAATATTCATGTAAAGACGAATAAAAAACTTACAGCACCTCCATACATTAGTGAGAATTAAAAAAGTATGTTTTTTTAGAACTACGTAAGAATATTCTACAAAGTCTTTGGGGAAAATTTTAAATATCTAGATCCAGTTACTTTGTGTTTTGTATTGATGTAAAAAGTCAGACAGTTTTATTTATTATAGCATGTTGATAATCTTACCAATGCTATATTTCCAGGCTAATAATTATAAATGGCTATCGTAACTGAAGCTGTGCTAACCATTTCTTTTGGCGAGGGTCCGCACTGGGACGTGGACGAACAGGTCTTGTACTACTGCAACTTTACAGACAAAACAATAAACAAATACAACCCTGCAACTAGACAGAATATCAAGGCGGATATCGGTAATTATTATTATTCACCATTATTTTTAAATTAAAAGAAGTGTTTTTTATATTATAAGGTGGCAAAAGAGCAAGCTGCCAACTGAATTCGACTAAATAGCGAAGCGAACGCTGCCTAAATACTACCGCAATGGCAGATGCGTTGCCTACTAGAACCGATAATATATATATCAGCTTTTTACTTGACCCCTCCTCCGTTAAATCAACTAAACCTTCCCATCCTTTTCTTATAAAAATGGGAAGGAAAAGAAGACGAAAATAAGGCATCCGGCACACTCACAAACATGGCAGGATCGTGTTAGATCATGCTTTTTTAGCTTATCCGAAATTTTGATATTGAATTTTATCATTTAAAGACAATATTCTATAGTCCAGTACCCAGATACGCATACCTCGTTCCTCATCCCAATCGAGGGCAAGAAGCATCGTTTCCTCGGAGGTATAAAGCGAGATATCGTCGAAATAGAATGGAAAGGAGACCTCGAGCAAGCAGTGGTTGTGCGGACGATCGCTAAAGTTGACCAACACCGACCAGACAATACCTTGAACGATGGCAAAGCAGACCCAAGAGGACGATTGTTTACTGGTAGATCACATTGATTTTACTAATATTATAGACGCGAATTTTTGGATGTAAGGATGGAAGAGTATTTGTTACAAGATATCTCCAGTATGGCTGCATAGATCTCGATGAAATGAAATGGAAGAATACACAAACTTTTTTATTAATTCTGCGCAGACTAAGACGCGGGCGACAGCTAGTATATAATACTTTTCTAAATATTCAAGGAACAATGGGGAATCCGGATGATGGAGATTATGAGACCATGACATTCCCGCAGCACGGTGCTTTGTTCCGAATGGACAGCGATGGTCAGACGCACAGGCTGGATGAGAGGGTGGCCGGCTCCAATGGACTCACCTGGGATGTAAATGGAACCGCCTTCTACCACGTGGACTCTGTAGACTGCATCAGAAAATACGATTATGACATCGAGACGGGAAATGTAAGTAAGTAAAAAAAGCTTTTATTATGTTCTTGTTATTTAAAAGAACTAAAAATAAAAAAGACGAACGACGACGATTCAAACGAGCTAATACTCGATGTGGTTGTGTAGTAATATCATTTTAGAATTATCATTTATTTCACTGTAAAGGTAACTTATCTTTAATAAAAGTAGAAAAATATTATTAATTTGTAGGCTAAGCTACAAATTAAATTGGATTTAATCTATCGATTTTCAATTGCCAGCTAATTGCCGAAAGTTCTTCGCGCCAAAGGACCACGCGATTAAGGGACTATGCGACGGTTTGACCTCAGACTCTGATGGAAACCTCTGGGTTGCTTTGTACGATGGAGCGAAGGTAACATTAGAAGTCTATTAAAAACTGTATTAAAGTTTTATTGACTACTACATTTTCAACAACATATACCTAATTATTCTCAATAAATTATTTAATTACAGATATTAAAAATTGATGGCAACACTGGAGAAGTTCTACAAAAAGTGACCATTCCGAATAGAGAGGTGACGTCACTAACGTTTGGTGGACCGAACTTGGATATTCTGTATGTGACGTCAGCCAACACGCGCTGCAAAAAGAACGAACCCGAATGGGGAGCGGCTCTGTACGAGGTTACAGGCCTCGGAGTTAAGGGTCGGCTGCCAATTAAAGCTAGAATTGACTAAAGCCTTTTATATTTTTAGTTCTCTAATGCACAGACTACAATAACGTAATATTGTCAATATACAATGTAAATATATAACTGATAATTCCTTTTATATAAATCTTGTAACCAAATATGAATATGTTACAAAGATTTTCGTCCTAACTTGTGAATCATTTTAAAATTGACTCTACCTAATTAAATAATATTTAAAAAAGTTCTGTGTTTTATTTAAGTCAGCGTCTTTTGTGCTTTATAATGTTTTAAAAAATATTTCAAAATCGCCTGAATGCAAGAAAGTATGAACATATGAAAGCGCGAATAGTGGAGTGAACAAGAATGTTAATTAATTAATAAAAATATTTTCATTAATTACATAATTTCATTAATTAATATTTTAATGATAAAGCAAATCGATGGGCGAACATTATGTTAAATTAATAAAAAACGTTACTTTCGACTGGTACTTTACTCTTTACAACAAAGAAAAGAGTTTACGATTTGCACGTCAATGACTCGCTGAGGCGAGCACGGCCAAGCATTGCTTATGGTTTTAATATGGGCCATTATAAACAAACCAAGGTCAAGATTGACCTCTTAATGACCGTTGGTCGATACCAAATCCTCTGTAAAAACATATCGTCCTCCCTGTCATCTTTGAAAAAAAAATACAGATAACAATAAATTTTAAACGTGGATATTGGTCACAGAAACACGGTCGGTGACAATACTACTCAGGATTATATAATTATTTATCAAAAGTTGATTCACCGCGTCGATTTAATGATACAAATATATAGATAGAAAAGATACATACTGAGTAAATACGATAAAAAAAGTCATGATTCATTATGTTTTGCGTGTTCTTTGATCATAGTTTGACTGCGTGCTTTTTCGTTTAGTCTGATCCGGTATCTAGAAGAGCGTTGTCTGTTGATAGGTAAAATCCTTTTTTTTATTATATAAGTTTTTAGTTTATTTTAATATGATAAGCAGTATTTTTCTATGGATTTTTATTATCAAATCGCGTGATTAATGTTCAGAATTTATAACGATACTAGCGGACCCGACAGACGTTGTCCTGTCTACACGTCCTTAATTTAAAAATTTCAAACTTTTTTTAATAAGCTAAGCTAGGGACAGACTAAAATTAAAATTCGAATATTATTTAAAATTTGACACTGCGATGGTAGCGCCGTCTGTGGGATCCAATGTAAAACATTCCAAAATCAACAACTACTAATAAATTAAAAATTAATTAAAAAAACATTGTCCAGCGGACAAAATTGTGAATCTAAACCATTCCCAGATCCCCTTGAACACACACAAAAAATTTCATCAAAATCGGTCCAGTCGTTTGAGAGAAGTTCAGTGACATACACACTCACAGAAGAATTATATATATAAAGATAGTATAAAGGTTATTAAATAAATAAAAATTACATAATTTGATATGCAAATATCACGTAAAAACAGCTGTGCAGCTGTTTAGGTATTGTTTCCTACAATTAACTAATGTAGAATATAATTACCCAGACATAAAACATTCCAAATGGCACCAGTCACAGAAGCAGTGCTGACCATTTCCTTCGGTGAGGGCCCGCATTGGGACGACGATGAAAAAGTTCTGTACTATATGAACTTTATGCAGAGTTCCATAAACAAATATAACCCGAAAACCGGACAAAAAACCACCACTGAAATCGGTAATTAAATTTTAGCACTTATTACCTATTTACAATTTTTAAAAATTCTACCACTTTGTTGCGTGTTATGAAGATTGTAAATCGCTAGATGGCGCTGTCATAAAATTTACCTAATTCCTCAAAAAATTCTCTTTTCTTATTATACCTATTGCCTTTTTTGTAATATTGTTTTTATTTTACAAGGAATAGTAAATTAGTCTAGCCTGACATGGACTGTATGGTCTATGGCGTACCAGCGCTTGTTTTCAGTTTTACTGTCTTACTGTACTGGAATGATGTAAACCAGGCAATATTTAATTAATGTGATATTTGTCAGAACAATTCCCTGACACATACACTTCGTTCCTCATCCCAATCGAGGACAAGAAACATCGTTTTGTTGCCACATTGAGACGCGACATCGTCGAAATAGAATGGAAAGGTGACAACGAGAAAGCGGTGGTCATAAGGACCATTGCCAAAGTTGATCAGGATAAACCAGAAAATATCATAAATGATGGTAAAGCGGATCCTAGAGGAAGACTGTTTACAGGTGAGTTTGTTTTTAATAATCACGAATTGGAATCTGAGCATAGTCTTTATTTAAAATAATCACTTTTACAATATTTCTTTTAGGAACATTTGGTTATAATCCATCAGGTAAAAATCTAAATGAAATGATTCTACCGCAAAGAGGTTCTTTATATCGAATAGATACAAACGGACAGGTGAAAAAGTTGGATGAAAATATCACTATCTCAAACGGATTAGCATGGGATAAAGACGGAAAGACGTTGTACTATGTAGACTCAATGGACGGCATTAGAAGATACGATTACGACATAGAAACAGGAAATATATGTTAGTTTTAATTAAACAAACCGTTAAATTAAGTGAACTCTAAATAATTTAATTAATTTAATTTTAATGGAATTATGAGGCAAATAATTGCCGATCATTTTATCATATTATATAAAATGACTACTGCTTGCCAAATCTAACCGCAACAAATTAACATCAAATCCGTTGCCTGCATTTAATTTAGAAAGCTGTGAGAATAAATATGACATTATGCTAAAGGGACTTAATAACGTAAAATTCAATTTTGCGTCCATAAGAACACACAAAAGCGTTTACATTACGATTAATAGCTTTTTTTTTTCAATAAACAGCAAACTGTCAAAAATTATTCATACCGAAAGATCACGGAATCAATGGAATATGTGACGGCCTGACCATAGACACGGATGACAACCTCTGGGTTGCCGTATATCAAGGAAGCCTGGTAAAGATTTAACACAATTTAATTAAAATCTTTGATTTTATTATTACACTTAATGAATGAAAAAATCTATTTTACTAAAAGCGATTTGTAATTAAATTAAATCTTTTTAAAATCTAAGTACATTTGGCAATGAATAACGGTTAAAATACACAATATTTCAAGATTAAAATAACACCAAAAAAAGTCTTGCAATCGTTGTTTTTATTATACGAAAGTCTACCAAACATTTCCAGGTATTGAAAATAGACGGAAAAACGGGTGAAATACTACAAAAAATCACTATTCCGAATAGCGAGGTGACATCTTTAGCATTTGGTGGAGAGAACCTGGACATCCTCTACGTCACAACAGGTAACGGTCGCTGGAAGAAAACTGAGACTGAGTGGGGGGCGGCGCTTTACGAGGTCAAAGGACTAGGGGTGAGGGGATATCCCGCCTTTAAAGCAAAAATCAATTAAATAAAAAGTTACAATAAATGATACTTTTTTCTTATTTAACAACCAGTGGTCATCCGCGATTTCGTCATCGCAGAATTAAAAAAGGTAGCCTATTATCTGCAGTACCTACCTTTCCGTCCAAGTCCTATCAAAATCTGTTCAGCCGCTCCGAATATTACCCGGAATAAACACGGCTCTGCGGTCAGACATACAGAGAGACAGACAGAGAGACGAAAAAAATTATTGTCATCGCTCATGTTCTCTTTGAAAAATAGAGAGCATTATGTTTTTGTACGTGTCTTTCGACACCGTAAAACCCAGTCAAGGTGGTATAACAAGAAAATTAAACAAATTATCCTGTAAATATTTGCTTTATTTAAAGTTTATGATATAAAGAAGTATATAGGGTAAAATGTGAATACGCATTTAAATTTACTTATATATAATATTATTATATAAAAATTTGTAAAAACTTAAATATTAGCACCTTACATGTCTTTTATGATTTTCTAATAAGACTTCACATTTCTTTGGTACTAAAATACGATTTTCTATATATAAATTGAGATAAATTTTATCACTCCAAAGTAAAAAAGTATACGTTTTTGGTTAATAAAATAAATTATGTAAAAATTATCTTATAGTTTTATTAAATATCAAAAATAATATATAAAAATATTGCAAATGCTTATGAAAGTGATAAGTAGTACTTAAAATAATTGTATAAATTAGCTGCATTTTAGCATAGCAGCTGATATTTAAACCACCCTTTATAAATATGTCTTTTAGTGCTAAAATAACCAGAAAATAATTAAGGCAGTTTGAAGTTGACATTAGGATGACCTTTAACACCCAAACCTAGCACCATAAAGGTTGCACCACAAGGAGGTTTTTGTTCTTCTTTTATATTCATACTGGCCGTAGTAACAAAAAGTACATCCAAATTTGGTCCTCCAAAAGTCACAGAAGTGACCTGCTTGGCTGGTATTGGTATCTTTTGCAACACAGACCCAGCTTTTGGGTCTATTTTAAGGACACATGATCCATCGAAGATGGCAACCCACAGATTACCATCCGTGTCTATGGTCATGCCATCAGGGAAACCTTCGATATCATTTTTCTTGAAATCAAAGATGTATTTAAGGTTGGCTGAAAAAAAATGCCAGGATTAACACATTCAATGCCACAACTGTTTTCACATAGAGTGAACTCAAAACAAAAATAAACTTACTCAAGATTATAAATGCGAATCTTTAGATGGATGGATGGATGATTGTTTGAAGATATCTCCAGAACGGCTTAACATATCTTAATGAAATTTGACACAGATGTAGTATATAGTTTGGAAGAACACATAGGCTATTTAGAATTTTTAATATCGCGCGGACGGAGTCGTGAGCGAAAGCTAGTTGCAAACAAATACTTACAAATATCACCTGTATCCACATCAAAATCATACCGTCTAATCTTACACTCAGGTGAATCATTGTAGTACATAGCTTTTTCTCTAAGGTCCCAAGCAAGACCATTAGAAATACTTATGCTACTGCACATCTTAACAATTCCCCGTCTATCCAATCTGTATAGCGAGCCTTTTTCCATGAGAAAGTTACCAGGGGGCTCTTCATGACCCATTGTACCTGAAAACAATGGAATGTTTGAAGGTATGTCTGGAAGAACATGTGAGTGCGAATTTAATTCTTTGACTTTACCTGCATACAACCTTCCTTTAGGATCAGCTTTTCCATCATTGATTCTTGTTGTTGGTACATCCTGGTCAACTTCTCCTAACTCCTTCACAATTTTTACTTTACTGTTGTTCTCACCATCCCATTGGATTATCAAGAATTTCCTCTCAACACCAACAACAAACTGATCATTTGTACCATCAACAGGTACTATAAAACCCACACGACCATCTGAAAATAATTTTTGTGATTTTATAATATAAATATTTTTTTCATATGTTTCGCATGCATATTTAATAAAACATAAATTGAGGTTGACTATACTGCTGTTAAATAATACATTAAATAAAGATTAGCCTTAATTTTCCTTTAACAGATTATATTTCATCTATTAATACAAAAGATAAATTATTGTCAGCATCAGACAGCATAGCTATAAGTAAAAAATTGATTGAGCCATTCCAAAGAAAATGGAAATTCAAATTATTTAAATATATTTGTTTTAAACAATTATAAAACATTATAATCTAAACTAAGTAAAAAGTTATATTTCAAACTATATTTTAGTAGAATTTAATATTGTTGAATAAAGTTAAATATTTGTGATAATACTTTTACATACCCAATAAAGTCTTGGTATGTACTCCTGTAGCGGGTACATATTTATTAATGGACTTTGAATTGATGTCCACAAAGTACAAAGCCTGTTGCTTATCATCCCAGTGTGGACCCTCTCCTAACACTGCAGGTTCAACTATTTTTTGCACTGATACTGACATCTAAAGGTTAAAAACATTTAATATTGAACAAAAAAGTTAAAAATTACATAAGAGTAAAATATGATCCCTTATTTTTTATTTCCAACATTTAGAGGAGTAGAAATTTATTTTATTAAGGAGGAAAACTAATTTATTACTTACTATTACAATTTTTGTGCACGAAGAGAAAAATCAACTTAATTAAAACTTTCTTTGATACTTATGTATCACGTTATCACATTTATAACAACAGTTCTTTTGATTAAGAGATACTTATTGCAATGTGATAATTTTATACTTGTTTATTAAGATAACAATTACGATCATAACACAACAATTATCTTATCATGTCAACTGAAAAGTTGGGTCATGCATAATCGAGGATGTGAGAATGAGAAGGAAGTTTTATACGACGGTTGCCATATAGCTGAAATATGATTCCCCTAAATTGCAAAATATTACGTTTGCCAAACAATCACTTTTTCCTGCCTAATCTACCACCATACATATTTACAGAGAAATTCAATAATTAAAATTAAAAAAGGAAAAAATACTTTTACACTAATAGTTATGGCCCTATTAATTTTTCTGTTTAAGAGTGCTGCCGTCACGGCATACCGGATTAATGCGACTTTTAAAATGTAGTGCAATTTTTGGTAGTTTTCACAACTTTTAACTATTCCAAAAATTATAATTTATATCATTATTTTTTCATCATTATCATCATCAGCTCACTATACGTCCCCACCGAGGGGCTACCCTGAGTTAAGGGTGATTAGGCCATAGTCAACCACGCTGGCCAAGTGCGGGTTGGTTGACTATTATTTTTACAATACCCAATTTTGTGTTTATTTATATTAACTGGCAACTCTAAAGGACGCCGTCGACGTCTTCACCAATTATGCCTAGTTTAAATTATGCCAGTACAGTAGGACAATAGCACTGGCTTAACATGGACTGTTTTGGCATAGTGGTGTCAACTTCTGTTTACATTATGCCAAAGCTTTGAGTGCTACTGTTCTACTGTACTGGCATAATCTACACCAAGGATTACTTTAACTTGTGTGCTTATTGATAATACGATATTACATTGTAATTAAATCATGATTTAGATATTTATATGCGTCATAATCAACATTTTAATGAGACATAATAAAAATATTCATGACAAGCAATCGCCAAATCAAATGAGATTATAAAATTGTGCTTTTCAAGTATATTGGCGGCCCAAGGTCATCGGCGCGCTGGGCAGTGACCACTCTACTGCCATTCCGCTACACCTGAAATTGTGGTTTCGCGCGAATTTAAGAGCCGCCAAGATATCTGAATAGATTTATACCACAGTAGGTCTTCCATATCAATATCTTTATCAGGAATCCTTTTTGTATGTAGTTAATTAAACAATGTTATTAATTGTATCAAGTCAAGTTTATTAATCTTAACCAATTTAAAAATATATTTACATCTACATCTGCGGTTTCTTTTTATTGGACATCTTACTTAAATGACGACAAATCTTTTTCTTCAGTTCCTTTTGCCTCTTTAATTTCCGCCATTCTTCTTCCTCTATTTGTTTCTTATGCTTCTGCAGCCTCTCCGCTGTTGCCTCTTTTTCTTTCTCCTTCTTCTGTTCAAAGTTTGTCTTCAACATTTTCATAACATTTGACACTTTCTGTTCATGTGGACTCTTTATAACAGCTATTCTATCTTTGAATATATCCTTAGCTTTAACACCAGATAAAGTAGTTGTACGTTCTTTCGGTTTAAATCTATAAGGCAGACCTTTTTGCAAAGCTTTAGGGATAACCAAAGGCTTGAATACTTTTGGTTCTCTTTTAATACTTGTGTACATAGAATCAGTATTAGCATCATTTTGTATGTTCCGTTCCCTTTTTAGTTGTCCTTTTGTTTTCATACCCTGCCAAGCATTTTTACTTCCAGCTGGTAATAATAAATTAACTACGGGAGCGTAAAACTTAGTTACGTCTACTTTGAACCATGTCCGGCAAAATATAATATCACTCATAAGTATTTTATCTTCAAATGTAGCACGGAATGCTCCTTCAGGTTTGTTTAAGGCCTTTTTTATTTGACCTCTGATCCCTGATACAGTTTTCACTCTGGCACCCTCAAATTTTGCGACCTCCAAAGTGGTTGTAAACATATCTTTTATGAATGCAGTCTTTTTGTATATTTTCAATGGTGTACCCACTAATTTGAGTTTTTTAACAATTTGTGTAGATTTATTAATTTCATTAACACTGCCTGTAGCAGCTATTCTAAATCCTAACTGCTTTATCTCATTGGGATTATTGTTGACTGTTTGAAGAGCTAAGAAGCCTGTATTTTGTGGTGTAATGGGGCCATAAAAATGCATGTTACATGTAACATGTTCTGGAGTATATTTCAAATACCTACATTTCAAATCATCCTCTATCTTGGAATATATGGGAAGGGTTTGGAAACGTCGCCAACCTAACGATATTATAAGGGGATCATTTGTTTTAAGAATCTTCTTATACCATCTATGTTTTTTTACTTTACAAGATACGAAACCTATGTTCTGCTCCGCCATGTTCAGTGCACCAATCAGTATGGGGTAACTGGCATCGAAATTAGTAACAAATTCCGAGGGCATATCTTTGAACAGCATCCTAACATATAATCCTGGTCTAAAACCCTCTACTTCAACTCTTAAGCCACTGTCTAGGTTTTCGAAAACGGATTTGTTTAACTCGGACTGTTTAAGAGCCTCTGCTTTTAGACTTTCGTAATAAGAATGATCACCTTTAATTCTATGGTCATCTGGATTGTCATACTCTGAATCAAATTTTGCTTTAAGCTTTAACTTCTTTTCGAGAATATCAGATTTTGTTGGCTCCCCTTTGCGTTTTATACCAGATGCCTCGTTATTAGTTTCCTCATTTGAAACATCTTTATTGATATGTTTTTCTCCTGTTTCCAAATCTTCAAAGTCACCGTAAAGTTCTTCATCACCATCACTTGCATCATCTAGCTTCAGAAGTTCTGAGGCATCTTCATCAGGCAATCTTTTTCCTGTCACAAAATTCTTCATGAGGAACTGTTTATTGGTTTCATTTGTCCAATCCTTTAAGTTTGGTTTGACATTTGAATAAAAATAGGAACATTCATCAACATCTTGCTGTTCTTTCTGTTTATGCTTTTTCTTCTCAGTGCTTGTTACTTTCTTAAATAATCCACCAATTTCTTCATCATCACTGCCACTACCATCTTCTTTTTGTTCTTTATTTTTATTTCCAATTTCATAATCCCCATAAACTAACTTCATTATATTTTTCGAAGTCTTTTGTCTTTCAAAGTAAGCCATAGTTGCTTTCTCACCTAATTTTTCTTTCCATTTAGTATTATAGTCAGTATCATCATCATCAGAGTTTTCCTCTTGATCTGATTTTTGACCATTTTCTTGTTCAGCACCCTCTGCTTCAGAACCCGAGTTGTTATCCCATGGCAGTTTGTTCTCATCACCATCTTTTCCACTTTCATCTATACCACTATCACTATCAGATTCATCATTATCATCATCATCACCTGATGAATCAGAATCTTCATGATTATCATTTTGTAGATATTCATCATCTTTTACCATATCTGGATAAATTACAGCTCCTCCGCTAAAAAGCTTAAAACCAGATTCCTGCATTTGTTCATCAAGTGTCTCTTTTGTTTCAACAACATTTTTAATCAATGTTTTCTTTTCGTTTGTTTCTTCATCTTCTTGTTTATGTGAGTGTGATCCAAGGAGTTCAATATATACTGCATCTTTATCATAAACAATACCACCAACACCGGAGAATGGTGCATAAATTTGTCTTTCCCTTTCCATCAGGTGGCGTTTCTTTTCTCTGCTCGGTAATGGACAAGGATCTGGTAAGTATGATAGTTCACTTATCTTCATATCTCCTACACCTGCAAACATCAAAATGTGTATAATTTGAAAGAAATACGATAAGAATTTTCATAGAATTAAAAAAAAATTATAAATAGCCTATGTGTGTATTTCAGGCCACATTCTATATCTGTATAATGTATGCAGATGTAAACATTAAGATCAACTGAACCATTCCAGAGATCATCATCATCAGCTCACTATACGTCCCCACCGAGGGGCTCGGAGCCTACCCTAAGTTAAGGGTGATTAGGCCATAGTCAACCACGCTGGCCAAGTGCGGGTTGGTTGACTTCACACATATCTTTGAATTTCTTCGCAGATATGTGCAGGTTGCATCACGATGTTTTCCTTCATCGTAAGAATGTCGGATAAATGTACATATGTAAATTGGAAATTGAAAAACACATTGGTACATGGCGGGATTCGAACCCAGGACCTGCAGATTGCAAGTCAAGTGCTTGACCACTGAGCCACCGACGCTCCAGAGATACCTTCTAACAAACATCCATTCATCCATCTAAATTTTCATATTTATAATATTAGTAAGACTAGGGCTAAGTTAGTTTATTTTAGAGAATTGTTCTTAGACAGTGCCTAGTTATTATTTATCTGGAAGATAAAATAAAAATGATTGAATTGATACCTGCAATATGCACTGTGGCTTCTTTCATTAGAGGTACACCTCTGACATAACCATATAGTACTACATCTCTGTTAACTTTAGAATCCTTTCTTATAACCTCTTGACTAGTAACATCTTCTAAGCGGTCCGCCAAGATATATGCATGTGTCATGCGCCAGCTTAAAGGCCTGAATTTCATCACAGATATAAATCTAGACAGATTTTTAATCTCATTTCTTAGATATTCACCATGAACAATACCAGAGAGGTAAAATAATTTTGCACCAGGATACACCTCTGTCCAAAAACGATGTTTTAGTGTTTTCTTTGTTGTTTTCAATGTTTTTGCATTCTTGATCATGTCAAGATGTGTCAGTACACCCATAATTTTAGGCATACCATGCACCTGACATATGTTAAGGAATTCGAATATCTCCATTTCGAAACCAAAACTAGCGTCACACAGAAGGAGAACTAAATCCGCGCATTTTGCTATATCTATCATGGAATTAACGTCGTTATTACATTCAATCAAAGTTAAACGACGTTTCTTTGATGTAACTATAGTAATCGGGCCGTTAGTGCTGGTAACGTTAGTTTTTATAAAACTTTTAATTAAGTTATTTATGAGTGTTGTCTTGCCTACACGAGGCGGCCCAACAACTGCTACGACGATCGGCGGAGGCTCCAGTGGCGTCTTGTCCACTTGGGGGATGTGCTGCTTCTTGGAAATAACATCTTCTCGTCTTCTAAACTGCCTTTCAGCTCGGACAGCAGATTGGATTGCAAATGCCTTCGGGTTTCTCTGTCTAGCACTTAGGTTAGATTGATCGACTGCAGTTTTTTTCTTCTTTTTATCAGCCTTCCGTCCGGCACGTTTCGCGTGATGCGACTTCTTTTTATCAAATATGGCATCGTCAGCCATCTTTACATAATATCTAGAATGAATTTACAAGAAAGATCCAAGCATGATTTTGTAAACAACGTCGACCAAGCACATGGATGTTGACAGTTGACATTGAAAATCTGATCTGACAATGACATAAAATATCAATGTAACCAGTTTACAAAGGTACCTCAATGATTCAGGATGAACTTCGTTAAGCTGAAAAAAGTTTTCAGGTTCTTTCTTGTCTTATACAATATAAAAAAATGTCTAAAAATTAAAATCAATTTCCCAACGTTTTTACAGCTGTGTCGATTTTAACATTTAACCTGGTATCCCCTCAGTCAGCTGTCATTAAAGTACCGCAAATCGATGTCGTTCTCTTGTATTTTTGTGAAAAAAAGCAATCTGTTCGGATGATGAAAGCAAAAAACTTCGTTGTTAATGATACTTCGCGAGTGTTCGACTTCAAATTGGACTGAAACACATTAATTGTACAATGAGTGCGTCAGAATTGGACAGCCGCAACATAGCTCTTTCCATGTAAGTGATCTTTATTATTGTTGTGTTTGTTGCGCTCGCTATCTACGTCAGGTATTTAAACCCCAATAAATGACTGTTATCTTATGCACAACCACATATTCAAGTTATTTATCATTGTTACTCTACTTGACTACATTTCACACAATTCTGACAACTTTTTAACACAAAAATTGGGCAAAAGATTCAGAAAATTAGAGTCGAGACTTAAATTCCATAGAGTTGATTCACCTTAGTATATATAATTCGGTTTATAAATGAATAAAAAGTTTCTTCTACAGTTCATTCACACTGAATAAAATTATCAACTTTACAATGTTTTCAATTCAATGTAATGAAGTCCTGTAAGTACAAAAAGAAAAGTCACTTATTAAATGTGTGTTATGTGAGCATATGTGAAATAATAATATTTAATTATAGGAGAAAATCTGTAGAAAATCTGGTTGTATCATCACAAGATGCCATCGGGCAGAGCATCAGTCAAGCTCTCAACTTCTCTGGGGTCATCACCCCACATACTGTTCAGGAAAACAAGTAAGACATTGCATGAGATTAAATAAACAAACTTACAATAATCTGCTTATTTCAGATATATGCACTAATTATTCATTTCATAGAAATGGAACTACTATAAATATGTCTGTAGTATAATAATATGTCTTCATTAATATTATAAAGAGGAAAGATCTGTTTGTTTGCATTGTATAGGCTTTGGAAGTATGAAACAGTATCACAAGGTGTTATAGGCTTTATTTGTTACTATATTTTTTTTATTCCGCTCGTAGTAAGTCTTGGGCAACTACAAGTTAAAGATATTTTTACTAATTACCTGAAAGCAAGAGAGAAAGAGAGTTATATATATAAGAAATAGAGTTGAAGAAAAGTGCATAATTTAAAGCCAACAGGCTACAGCTGCAGTGATTCTTAATTTCAATAATATCTGCCTTAAAGCGGTAAATTGTCTGACAAAGTTATATTTTACTTACTAACATTATAAATATGAATGTTTAGATGAATGTACCCAGAAATACTCAGTGGATATCAACAAAATTTGGTATAAATATTGAACATAGTCGGGAAGAACCATAGAATTAAGTTTGCTTTTAATTCACAGATGGAATCGCGGGCGACAGCTAATATTTCTTATACATTTATAATTTTGCATATGTTATACCAAATTCAGATAATATACAGATGTTGCCAGAATAATAAATTTATTTTATTACATTCGCTACTTTGAGGATTATTTGGCACAGGTTTTTGGCACATTTTAGCAAGTTTACTCATATTATAGATTGACTCTAGAGAGTATTTTCTCATAAACTATAACACTCACGACGGTTGCCCAGACAGGGTAAGCAGAATATTAAAATTGACATTAAATATATATTTGAAATTCGATTTCTGTATTTGGTTTAACATTTGAGTATTAATTTTATTTATATTTTTCCTTTGTTGATGTTATTACAAACTATGTTTTTTTATGCTAACTATCTTACTTATAATATAAATACGAAAAATAAGATGGATGAATGGATGGATTTTTAATATTTCTTATCTCAAGTACGGCTAAATGGATCTTACTGAAATTTTGCATAGATGTAGAACATAGTATGGAAGAACGCATAGACAACTAATTTTTTTTTAATTACGCACAAATGGAGTCGCAGGTAAATGCTTGTATTTAAATAATTTATATATTAATTAGTATAAGTAAAATTGTCAAACTTGTGTCATATTCCCGTGAAATAAATATAGTCGTTTATTACACATGTTTATATAATAATTATGTTATAAAATTTTTCACATATAACGTCAGTCTAATCTCTTGATATTGACCATCTCTTGAGTTAAGTTATTATATAATATGCCTTTAGTTATATGTTCGAAACTATATGAGACCACGGATATCTCGAAAAAATATAGTTAATTTAAAAAAAATATTTCAGTTTATATATAAAAATCATACTAATATTATAAATGCGAATGTTTATATGGATGGATGGATGTTTGTTTGTAGGTATCTCCAGAACGGCAGAACAGATCTCAATGAAATTTGGCATACATATAGAGCATAGTCTGGAAGAACACATAGGCTACGAATTATATTTTTAACTACGCGTAGACGGAGTCGCGGGCGACTGCTAGTAATATTATAAGTAGAAATCGTTATTTGTTTGGCGGCAATGTGTTAATCTTATATATAAAATTCTCGTGTCACAATCCCCAGAAACTGCTTTACCGATTTTTTTTTTTACCGATTTTATATGCATATTCAGTAGATCTGATAATCGGCTAATATCTATTTTTCCCGCACGGACGGACACGCGGGCGACAGCTAGCAATTTATATAATAATGTTAGTTATATTTACTTTCAAATTCACATAGCACGATCTAGTAATTTCGTTGTTACATTTGTCATTTGCTTGTGGTATTAATTTAAACGATATTTAAAGTTATACAACTTTACATTTTATTCAATAAAAAAAATTGATTCTATATCAGTCTTACCCAAAGTGGGCGATAACGCCCCCTTGTGGGCGCTGCAGGTCTCAAGTTGCGGGTTATAGTAAAAGTTTCCTTTAGAATTCTCCGTTAATATACATATATAGGTCACAATAATTAATTAATTTAATTTGAAGTTATACTTAAATATTGGGGCGCTAAAAAAGTATTTATTCTCAAAGTGGGCAGTAGACAAAATAAGTTTGGGTACCACTGTTCTAGGTTAAAGTTTATCGGATTCATTTTTAGTGGATTTTATTGTAAGTGTACTTTAAATGAATTAAAAGTAGGATTTTATTTAATTTTATTCTTGTATTAAGCATATAAATTTGCTTCAAATAACAATATTTTGGCTATTATAAAACGCAACTTAATAAATACGTCAAAAGAAAATATAGAGCGAAGTTCAGTCTAGTAACTTACAAGATAAATGAAGTATTATTATTTTGGTCATGCAATCATTACTAATTGTATTGTTTGCGTTACACAAATATGCAATATTATCTTATCGGGCCGCTTGAACATATATCGACAATAATAACCTACACTTTTAACGTTTACAAGGGATACGTCTCAAACAGTTAAAGAATTATATTTACTTCCCACTGGGGATTGGATATCGTAAAGCACACTATCATCTCAAAAGCTATAAGCACTTATATGATTCATGACATTTCATCGATATGGGTAGGAAATCAATGTCCACGACTGTACGTTCCAAATTAAAATTGGTACATGGCCAGGATCAAACACGTTTAATCCTTGCTCCAACTGTCATGTTATGCAAAATGTACTCTAAATAAGATAAATAACAATTTTATAAAGTTTAAACCAATTTCAATACTACGTAACCAAGGATTATCACTTAGTCGTGCATTTATTAGGTTTCTTGAATGTAGCACTGCAGTGCACGCCACGATAATAAAATACATATAAGAATATTGGTTTTGCACTGATCAGATGTGTTGTACTTTCGGTGAATAAAGAATAAAAAAAATGTAATCTTATATTACAAGTGTTGTACAAGTTTATACAACTATGAAGTTATTGAAGATTTATGAACATTGTGGTAATTTTTCCCGAAAATTTTGAGATTTTGTGTTCAGTTTTGGTGTTGTAAAAAACATTTTGTGTCACGTATTCAATTTCATGTGATTAGTCCATTGTTCAAACGTCGCAAATACTATCTGAATCGTTTTTTTTTTCGAACGTAATGTTGTCTGCCAGTTTTTAGAACTTTTAGCTGCCAGTATTTTTTTTTCGTAATGCTACGTGTATTGTTTTTTGCCAGTTTCAATTTTAATACCAGTCCATTATTCATATAAGTGTTTGGGTGAAAAGAGTATTTATTGAATTTTATTTTATTTAAAAAATATATTTCCTACGTAATCAGTATTAATATTATACGCTTTATCACAATGTAGAACGATGAATGATATTGTTTTTATAGACGTAATTAGGTTTGAATACAATAAAGGATTCGACAGATGTAATTGTTCAGTGTAATATATATATATTTTTTTATCTTGAAATCATGTATTTATTATCAACCAGTCTTAGATATTGCGTAGCGCGTTACGTTGCGCTATAATTTAATTTAATAACAAAAGAGTTTTTAAACCAAACAGGTTTTTTTGTGTAATTATGAACAAATCTCAAGTGGATTTCACACAATGGGAGTCAATTTGGAAGTTTCTTATTTTGAGGTAAATAACTTTTTTATAATTAAATAGTATAAACTTTTTTATAAACTGTAAAAATTGTTTTTTTTGGTTCAGTTTTTAATGTCGTATAGACAAAAGCACGTCTAAAGACTGCCATATACGGACTGCTCGGTAAAAAATGTTGCCGGTATGTACTCGACATTTTTAAAACAGTCCGCATATGGTTTAATTGAAACAAACCACAGCAATGTTATTTACCACGGTAATAGATTTATGTATATAAGTGTGATTTATATAGGTAATTAGTTATAGACAATAATATACCATAATCTATTGTCAGTGTTGTCATAAAAAAAACATCATTACTAAAATGTACAAAAAGTCTTTATTTTCGAAGATAATTTTGTAAAGTTGTTGAAAACTTTGAGGCAGATAATAATATAATATCGAATAATAATAAATGCGAATGTTTAGATGGATGAATGTTTGTTTGAAGGTATCTCTAGAATGTAGAACATAGTCTGCAGGAACACATAGGCTACTTATTAAGTTTTTTTTTTATTTCGCGCGGGTGTAGTCGCTGTCAAAAGCTATGCAATATTTGTTTTAAAATTTACTTTCTACCGTTCCTTATCTTTTTAATCCCATCGTAATTTACTTAATAAATATATTATCGTCTTTGTTTTCAATGTTTATATCACGACCTAGAATTTATTAAAGTAAACAAAGAAACTCTGATTGCGTCTTGTTTTAGAAACAAAAGAAGTGGTCCTTGTAGACTCTCTAACTTAGTAAAAGCGGGGCAAAGACAGCTCAAGTGGCGGCCTTGACACGAACTAAACTAAAACTATAAAGCTGTATAAGATTTTAATTGACATTTTCAAAATGTTAATAGAAAATCTACTTTAAAAATGTATGTAACATACATTTAAATTCAATAAACAGGTTTATTATGTTGAAAAAAAAAGACTGGTCGAGGTCATTGTCACTACTAGATTGCTAATATGACGCACAAAGTAAACTATTGCCGAAATACGGACTAGGTATAGTGACATTTATGGTTTGAAATTTTGAACGGGCCACGAAATAATTTTACGCATCGGTAAAGGCGGGGTAACACCACAGGGCCCACTTGTCCTTCAAATACGCGTTCGCTGCTAACTAAAGCCCTTCGTATACTAAACGTAAATAGTCGAAAATAATACGGTATGGTTGCGTCGCGACAATCGCGTTGCTTTCCGAACACAACGTTGAATCGTCGACGCGAGTTGTCTATTCGGTTATAGGCAATAGCGACTATATGTCAACTGTATAGTTGTGTTCCGCCATTTTGAAAATTGCGGCGATTTTTCTCACGACTATCTTGATAAACAGTTTGCAAGCGATGAGGGATAGAAATGTTGGCGACGCGCTGTACGAACCTCGATATTGTATCGTTTATGCTTTGCGACTAAAATCGCCTGGTATCGAAGATTTACGTTGCCTTATATAGAAAGGGTTTATTTCTAATTAACCACCAATTTTGTAGACCACATTAGTATTGCGTTAGAAGTACAAAATAATTAGCAATATCTAACTTGGGTATATACACATGGTATATGTTACACGTTCTTTAGCTGTGAAAAAATGACGTGCCTTATCAGTTGGTCCCCCTTATTTACTCGTACATAACTAAGTATGTGATGTTAATTACCGCATCGTATGTAAATGTACATACTTCCCCTTTGTACGAACCACCGAAGCAAAACTATCTTTACTACATAAATAGTAATTATATAGTCAAGATGATTTACTCAGCTAAAGATAATTCATTTTATTTTATTATTTCTAGTTTTTCTACCTAGTCTAGCTTTTTTTACCTAGGAATTATCATTAGATTAGTTACTTGTTATCTTTATAGCTATTTATTTCACAAAAATACGAATGTGTGAATAGAAATTTACTTTCTAAACTAATCACATTTCATCTTATAAATGCGAATGTTTGTTTGAAGGTATCTCCAGCACAACTCCATGGATTTCTCTGAAATTTGACATAGATGTAGAACATAGTCTTGATGAACACATAGTCTACAAATTAAGTTTTTGTTTAATTCCACGCGAACGGAATCGCGGGCGACAGCTAGTTGAACATATTTTAAACGTAGCTAACAAAACGGCCGACTTGAAGCATACAATATATTAAATAAAATATTTGAATTGGTACTTTTTTAACAAATGATTCAGGTGTCGTAATATTAGGCATTGAATACAATAGGGACCTTGAATTTCGTTTAAAACTGTTGCTCCGGCGCGGGCGGCCGGAATGAGTGCAGCGGTCACGCATCGATGATCATTGCTAACTGACATGCTACTGGTCAAAAACTAACATACATCTTACTAATATTATAAATGTGAATGTTTGAATGTGTCTCTGTCTGAGTCTGGAAGAACGTATACGTAATTATGTGGTTTTGTAATCTCGTTTGGACGGCATTACGGGCGACAGCTATTATTCAAATAAATTATCGAGGATCACAAACTATCTAGCAATCGACTGTAGCGTTTTCTTTACATTTTACAAATTGGGTTTGCTTTTTAAAAAATATAACGAAGTTTTCTAGCCCTTACTAATTTACCGACCTTACTTTTATATCGTTTTCACTAATCGATGTATGGAACAATATGTTTCATTGTATGTTTCTGCATTATTGTAAATCATGGAGCATGCTGATGCAACAGATTCACGTACTTACGATTTAGCTTTGCATCTGGAAATGCACAATAGCGCCACCTCAATATCCTGCGAGAGTAGCAAATTGAGGTCTTTATTTAATCGTCAAGATACTGAAACCACAAATTTTGTATAATTCAAAAGTAACATTTTATATTATAACATTTCAGAAGCGTATCCCGTTCTCCGTCCCCATCGCTGCGTCACACAGAGAGCAGTTCTGAACTTGTAGATGATAAGGTAATATCCATTTGAAATTATAATATCTTTACTTATAAAAAACAGTACTTAATATTTTCCTCGAATGATTGTCCGTCATACATACTCCGTCTCCAAAAGTTCTCATTCCTGTTCTTAGTAAGAAAATATCTGGAAGGAAGGGATCTTGTGCGAAGATATACGCATGAAGCTAACTTCAAAGGTTATGAAGTTTGAATCTTAAAGTAGGCTTTAAATTATTAAATGTTAAAGGTTATAAAGCCCCGTAACGCTCCCGCCATAGACCATAGATAACTGTTGCTTAAAAAAAAATTACGACACGAACCAAGCGTCTGTAAGATGTCGTTTGTTAATAAAAAAAGCTTGAAATTTCTATGCTGTTTCTTGTTTATTTCCAGTCCAGTGATATCTACATCCAGGGTTCTGGGGACGCGCAGCCAGTGTCCATAGAAGCGCCGCTCGCAAAATCTGATAGCAATAAGGTATGTATAGATAGTGAGGTGCCATACGAGCGTTACGTGGTACAGAATTAACGCATAGCGGTAGACGTGATACTTTTTTTAACAGATAATCGCTTACAAGCAAACAGTTAACTGATTAAATGGAGAAGATATAAAGTGACATAATATATTTCTTGCGACTTGGTTGCCCTTTTGTTCTTCTGCTTTGAAATTTGATGCTGTAATAAAAAAGAGTTCCGTTATAACCCTACTGCTAAATTAACATAATATCGGTTTGTACGACTGTATATTGGCAATATCTTCGATGTTGTTTTAACCGACGTGTGTGCAGACAATATCACAAACGCCGGTGGCGTTGCGCGGCGGCGCTGACGCGGGCGCTCGCACCAAGAAGAAGAGCTGGTACAACGCGCTCTATCCCACTTACAAGAGCAAGTCGGAGGATTTCAAGAGGCTGTTCAAAGATCTGCCCGATGAGGAGAGGCTTATTGTTGGTATGTAATAGCTGTCGCCTGCGAAATGATCGCGGAATTAAAAAAAACTTAATATGTAAATTATTGAAACTCTCACGAGACATTATAATAAACTGATATAAAAACGGCTAAAACACTGACGTATATTCGTCCGGTGGCGGCACAGACTAGTTTCGAGCCCATCGGCATCAGTGAGTGAATAGCCGCGTCGGCGAAATAATACCAGGCCCACTCACCCTGATAAAGGGCCCCCGATAGATTCGAAACTAGTCGGTGTCGCCACCGTACGAATATACGTAAGTGCTTTAGCCGTTTTTATATAAGTTTTACTTAATATGTAGTCTATGTGTTTTTCCAGACTTTCATCATGAACTGTAAAGTCGTTTTGGAGATCCCGTAGTAACAAACATCTACCCATCCATCCAAATATTCACATTTATAATATTAATATGATGAAAACGTTAATCGTGACTTTCTGAGACTAATATCTCCGTTTAAAACGTAATGCTCATATCTTTGTTTTGTCAAAAATAATGAGTGGGTCGATGTGTTATACACAGAGATTTTTGTCTCAGAAACCGACGGTGAAGCGTGTCAAACTAAACAAGATGGCGCCATAGCTAACTGATTTAACGACATTATAGTGTTTAGGAATTGAATTTATAGATTTCATTTGTATGTAGATTACTCATGCGCCCTGCAAAAGGACATCCTGGCGCACGGGCGACTGTACGCCTCACAGAACTTCCTCTGCTTCTACGCCAGCATCTTCGGCTGGGAGACCAGCATGACCTTGCGCTGGAAGGACGTCACCGCCATCACCAAAGAGAAGACAGCACTGGTATAATGACTAACGATAATATTTATACCATTTTATAATGTAAAAAAAGACAAATTTTCATTTTAAAGTGTACAAGATAAACAGTTTGAGTATAGAGGTGCGTTGTATGTGTGTGCAGGTGATACCTAACGCGATCCTGGTGTGCACGGAGACGGAGAAGAACTTCCTGACATCATTCTCAGGTCGGGACAAGGCATACCTCATGCTGTTCCGCATCTGGCAGAACGCGCTCATGGACCAGCCCATGTCCAGCCACGAGATCTGGCAGTGGGTGAGTGGAAATTTGCCCTTGTATAATGTCATAAGGCCCTTATACGATGCCATGTTTTTTAAAATAAATTAAGAAAAATCTTTCTAACGTTCAAATTACAAAAATAGAAATCTTTTTTTTTCAATTTTTCTAAGATTACTTGCCGTGGGTTTCTGAGATCAAAATCTCCATTTAAAACATTTTTATCTCTGTTTTGTTAAAGTTGAATGACAGGGATGACGATATGATATATTTTGGTATCAGAAACCCACTTTAAATCACACAAATATCATGTTTTCAATTTTACTAAGATAAATGCGAATGTTTGTTAGAAGGTATCACCAGAACGTCTGAACGTATCTTGATGAAATTTGGCATAGATGTAGAACAGTCTTACCCAAAGTGGGCAATAACGCCCTCTTGTGGACGCTGCAGGTCTCAAGGGGGGCGATAAGAGACTCAAAAATAAAATGGGGGCGTTGTGTAGAGGCCTGGGGGGTGATTTGTAATTTTATTTAGCTAGGACGCCTCTTAGACAACTACTGCATGAGCTCTCGACTCTCAACAACAACTTGTGAACATCAACTAATATGAATTAAAAGATTGCTTAAACTCTAATATGGGGGCGCTAAAAAAATATTTATTCTCAAAGTGGGCAGTAGACAAAATAAGTTTGGGAACCACTGATGTAGAACATAGTCTGAAAGAACACATAGGCTACTTATTTTACTTTTTCTTTTATTTCGATCGGACGGAGTCACGGGCGACAGTTAGTACTTTATATTCATATGCCCCAATTTATTTCACTGAGTCGCAGTTTTGCGCAGAATTGTATAAAATATGCGCATAGTTAGTGTGGACAAGTGTACACAATGAGGCTACGTGATGTTTTACATGTTCCATATATTTTGTAATTCAAAATTTGTTTTGTACAAAACGTGCCGTGAACTTACGTAATACAGGATAAGATTTCACACAAAAAAAAACAACTAAATTCAAATAATTTAAATAGATAAGCGAATAGGTTAATATATATTTTATAAGCAAGCTATCGCCTGCGACTTTATCTGTGCGGGATATAAAATATAGACGATTTTCAAACTTATTGAATATGCATTTAAATTTCATAAAAATCGGTCATGCCGTTTCTAGTAATATAAAATGACACATTAGCAATTTAACGTATTAATTTAAAAATCACGCGTTCATTTTTATAAACATACTAGCTGTCGCCCGCAACTCCGTCCGCGTGGTTATATAAAAAAACTTAATTAGTGTAGCCCAACCATCCATCCATCCACATCACATCCATCTAAACCTTCGCATTTATAATATAAGTAAGTTAAATAAAAATCAGCTCTTCAAGGCGTAAATTCGAAAAAAAAAGAATAAATAGTATCCTATGTCCGTCTCCTGGCTCTAAGCTACCTCCTCACCAATTTTCAGCCATATCGGTAAAGCCGTTCTTGAGTTATAAATAGTGTAACTAACACCACTTTCTTTTATGTACATAAAGATGTAATAAGTTGTATGACAAAATGTTGACAACACCGCAGATTTAATATTCTTATCAATAACTAAATATTTATTTATTACTATGATTTAAAAAAAACAACTAATTTCAAAGTACTTAAATTAGTTAAAAAGATAAGTTTAACAAATCTTAAGTTTATTTAACTTGAGATTTTTTGTATTTTTTTCGATATATAACAAAATGTTTGATGAACAAATAGATTCAATTTTGTCTTTGTAAATCAGTTTGAATTAATGTATTAAAAATTAATGCACTGATCAACCAATGACGTGTCGCGAGACTTTAATTTAAACCAATCACAGCTCAAATAGTGTGAACATTATTATGCCTATTTCTTTCAAAGAGAATTAAATTGACTACAATGTAATCGTTAAAATAGTGACATGTAAAGACTAAACATTTTAAAGACGAAATATAACATCTCACTTAATTATTTTTTTTGACCAAGCCAGTGGTAGCAAACCTTTTTATATCATGCTACGTTTTTCTAAAGAAATTTTTAATAAGTCATTTTGTTTTTAATTTGGACTTTGTAATTATTGTGAACATATAAGATTAACTCGTGTTCTCTTTTCATTAAATACTTAATTTTAGTTTTTTTCTAATGTAATTTTTTTTTGTGTAGTAAAGTGTTTTAAATATAGTGTCGTGTGCCATTGGTTCCCTATCTCTGGCTTAGAGCTTAGGTAAAATATAAACGGGTTACTATCGGTCATTCATAAGATATTTGTATAATGTTTCAAAAAGTTGAAGCAAATGATATTCATCACCTTTCGAATAACAGAGAGTTATAGAAGAACAAAAAAACATGACTAATTGAAAACCTCCTCTTGTTTTAAGTCGGTTAGAAATATAACACAAATTACAATATAATATTGGAATATCCCATGCAATATATTCGTTTCCCTGTTTTTATTCCACGTGTTTGTAAAACTTGATGATTCAAGGTCTGTATGTCAATGAGTTTGTACGCATTCGATGTCGCTCTCACTCGCCGGAAGGTACTATTCTGATGATAAACAATTTTAAACAACTGTTATAATATTTCTTATCGTGTTTTACGTAATGTTAGTGTTACATTTAGAATTAAAAAAACTATAGAGTGGCGATGTTTTTTTTTGCTTTTTTTTTAATACAGTGGTTTAAAAATTTGTTAATTTTATTAAACTCTATAATAATGTATTTTGTGTGTATGTGAATTGAAGTTATTTAAATTTTTTTTTCAACTTGACTGATTTGGAATTGGTTATTTTTTTTTTGTGTGTTTTGTGAGTTTATTTTGATATAGTCAACATATAAATCTGGTAGGTGTCTTTGTCGGGTTCTTTATTTGTTTTTATTATAACCTCGTATTTATACGATCTGATAAAAATATACAAAAGTTTCTAAAGTGGGTTCTGGAGCGTTTCTTTGGAGATCCCGGGACCCTGCCAGTAGCACTCTTGAGGTTGGCCTCCGAGGGGGTTTTAGTAAGTAAGTAATCCTGTCTTTCACTCAAAAGGCAGGGTATCTTACGAAGATTTCCCCCCGAAAACAAAAAAAAGTTTTCTAAAGTGCAAATTTATTCTAAATAAAACTAAAAAGTTCTAGCTTTCTCTGTCTACCCTAAAATAATTATTATTGAAAAATAATTTAGATGTTAACTGTAACACCTCATTGTGTATTTTATCTTATCGTGTTACTTAAGACTACAAACTACACAATGCGTCAGTTTTTTTTTAGCAATTATTTACATTTGTACGCAATGAGTAAATAATTAAAACTAACTATCGCCCGCGATTCTGTCCGCGCTGAATTAAAAATAAACATAATTAGTAACCTATTCGGACTATGCTCATTAATGAAAAATTTCATCCAGAATTCAGATGTTTTGGAGATTCTAACAAACATCCATACATATAAAAAATCGTATTTATATAATGTTAGTATGATTATACGATAATCAAGGCCGGTGAGAGCCTTATCTTTTTGTCTTGTTAATTGACACGGGAGAAAATTTTTTCTTCCTTCTCCATTCTACTGCAACCTATTTCCTTATTGCTTAGATGCTATATTTAAATCCAGGCGTTTCCTGACCCTTTTTACGTTTATCTATTACTAGCTGTCGGCCGCGACTGCATTTGCGCAGAATTAAAAAAACTTAAATAGTAGCCTATGTGTTTTTCCAGACTTTGTTCTACGTCTTTGCCAAATTTCACCAAGATCCATGTAGCCATTCTGAAGATACCTTCAAATAAACATACATCCAAACATTCGCATTTATAATATTAGTATCATGTTATTTGTTGTTTGTAAAATAAATTTATCTGTATGTCTGTAGGTACATTCTTGCTACGGCGAGGAGTTAGGCTTCAACTCAGAGGACGAAGGATATCCGCGGGACGTGCGAGACGCGCCTGACGATTCCTCCGCCACGCCACTGGACCCTCACGAGGTAAGAACATCATCAGACTGGGATTCATAATCATCATTACAGGATGTAGACCTTCCCAAATGCCTTATGCTTCTCTATATATAGACAGGTTATAAGACAAGGTATTTTGTGCCTATTTGCTTGACGCCATTTTGTGACTGATGGTTGCGGTTTCTAGCGGTGGTAAGGAGTTAAATTAATAATAAAAATAAAATGAACTGTCAGTAATTTCATTAAACGTATTTAAGTCGGATCTAAGCTGCTATATTTATAGGTATGAGTGATTTTAGTACTTTAATATAATTATATGAGGGCGGAGGTGGGTTGCTTTAAGAAGGGTTCATGGTGCACTTTCAACTTTCAAATAACAGTAATAACAACGAAGGTAACGCGCGATAGTTCAACGTCCGTTCTAGTCGACAGCCACAGGAGAAGCGTCCCGCTGCAGACCCTCAGCTGATAAGGTGTTAACACATCGAACGCCGACAGACGGCGCTGGCGTCCCGTTCCGTAGTGAATTCGACTGCCGCAGTGGCGCTAGTGTTGCGTTGATTACGACATATATAAACCGTAGATATATCTGGTTAAACATTCAAATTATATTAATTATCGAAGGACCAAAATGTATTTACTTTAAATTAAATAAAGGAACTGATAATGATACTTTCAAAGTAAATATTTACGATTTTTTTTTCAATTAATTTCATCTAAGTAAGATATCTCGCAATTGCTTCGTATAACAAATCCATATGAGATAAACTCTTATCAACTAAAAGCATTATTGATAAGGTATCGAGATATGGTATTGATAAATAGTCAACTGTGAGTTACCGCGGTATGGACATGAGCCGAGCTTACAAGAAAAATAAAAAAAAAGTAAAACCAATGTTCGAAATTTAAATTAATTTATTATGTCGCAATTATCTGGTGCAAGTGCATATTAAAATTAAAAAAAATGTGTTTAATTCATAATATCAGTGACTTTTTTTTAATTAAAAACTAAATAGTCTCGCTATCGATCTCAATAAATGGATAGGCGATTGTTTGGAAGTGACTGCTTTTATTATGTTCCGATTTAAACGCGCATGTTGATGTTACGTGTTATTAATTCTAACATGTTCTTAATTCGAATCTACACTACCGTTACAAATTGTTCCGATTACTAAAATGGCGAAAATCAAATAGGCACAAAATAATACGTCGCATAGCCAGTCCATTTATAGATGTCAGTGCCTCGTAATATTCGTAGTATAGTTACAAAAACTTCTATTTACAGAATATAGCAATTATAACAAATGTTTTTTTTTAATTTCTATTTTCACAAACGCGAGTGCGACAAACAAAATGTCAGAACTAGGTATTTGCTGCCCATGTTCCAGTGTCAGGCAATTAGTTGTTACTGTGTACCACAAGAGATGGTAGCGTGAGGATATATGTGCAGGAGCTGGTGGAGCCGTCGATGGAAGTGTGCGGTGGTGGCGGAGGTGGGGGCGGGGCGCGGGGGCGGGACCTCTCGCCTCTAAGGGGTAAGCTCACACAATACTACGGTTCACACATTTTTGTCTAAATGTAAAAAAAAACAAGATTAAAAAAAAATTAAGACCTTTTTAGTTTGAATCATTTGTCGTGAATGGCGCCTTTCCTTACAAAGTCAAATGTCAGAATGATTAGTGAGGGGACATAACCTTCGACATTCTAATAAGTCTAGTGTTGCGCCAGTACACCGGCACATTGTCGGATTTTCTTCCTAAAAAAACAGAGTTACGTCAAATTGCCGCCATTTTGATATTAGACTTTATTACTTATTTTGTGAAAATTTGATTCTTTGTTTTATTAACGTGCTTCATCCCCGCGGAGTAAAAAAGAACTTAGCCTATGCGTTCTTCCAGACTATTTTCTACATATGTCTCAGATTTCATCGAGATCTATTTTGGAGGTTCCATCCAAACTTTCTGATTTATAATATTAGTATAATTTATGTGAGATAAGATTTCAACGTGTAAGTACATTTTGGCTTATATTAGAACTTTATTCGATGACCATGCCATGTCAAATAGTCAATTCGTTAAATTTTTACTGACACATTTTTAGCATATGTACTGACAAACATATTAATATGTCAGTAATAATACTTCATATTAAAAAAAAAATACAGAGTCTATTCCTAAAAATATTTAAACTTTTATCTACATCAAATCCTCATGTTCTAAATAAACATTATGCCGCTTAACAAAGCCGTGTTTCAAATTACAAAGCTCTCAACGAATGTAAACAATTGTTATCCTTTATGATTTCCCAGTAGTTTATAACCGTTGTGTTCTACTGAAGTGACATTTGTTGAACATATTGTGGTCTCTTTTGTTGTCAGAGAAAATGAAAGAGATGTCAATATTTATTAATATAACTAATATTATAAATGTTTGAATGGATGGATGTTTATTAGAATCTCCGGAACAGTTGAACATCCATAGAAGAACACACAGACTACTAAGTTTTTTTTTTAATGTCGCGCGGGTGGAGTCGCGTGCGTCAGCTAGTTTGAAAATAAAGAGAAAAACGGTCCATTTGTAGCGTACGCGTAGACAACGCACACACGAGCGTGCCTAATCTAGTACGCAACAAACAAAAAATATATTAACGTTTGAAAGAACAATTGTTGTTCGTAATCATTAGAGATCTGATTAAGCTACAACATAGACGTAGAAAACTCTTTTTTTAATTATTTAAATGTGGGAGATGTATATATACACGTTGTTGAATCGTGCTGTTTCATTTTATTATACAAATGGTATGAATATAAATGTTAGTGAGGTTGATGATTATTTGCTGGTGGATTGTGAACCCTCGGATATATGGAATGAAGTTGAAGAAGGATGCGAGGAAGCTCAACCTGCTTACGGTAATTTTAAACGAGTTTGTAAAAAGTTCTCAGGGTTATTGTCTTTGACGATTGACCAGCTATATATATATTATTTTAGTTAATAAATCTAAATTACGATTAGAGAAAAATTGATCCATCCCACAATAAGATATCGCTTATGAGTTCATTTATAAGATGCAACTCCTTGTCGGTTGGATCGTTTTGTTTTAATATCCATGTCGGTATGTTATTGCAGTGACAAACGGCGACTTAGCTCTACGTGACGACGAGGCGGGTGACACGCTGCCCACAGACATGTCGGACACCACTGACAGCGAGCCCGACAAGCATCGCAAGTAAGTAGCAACTTACCCACAACTGTGTTTTACATTTACAGTTGGATCTGGATTCTAGGAATATTAATTGTAACGTGACAACCTTTAGTCAAATATGTATAAAATATAATAAAATACAATAGTTCCCAAGCGCATTTATGTCGGTACAAAGTAACCTTGTCGGACTGTATCTCATCATGTCATGTCTTAACTTTTAAGTCATTTTCTATGCCTTTGTAGGCTTCATTTATTAATTGAGTTAATTAAGTGGTAGCAGCGCCTGTCGGATCACTTTCTTAGTATTTTTCTTGGGCACAAATTGTTGATTTTCATAAGGTTACGGCTGGTAAGATGGCATTTAAAATGTATTGGTAAGTAGGAGTAATTTAAATCAGTTGCGGTGAGACGGAGAAGTGCACGTCGACGCACGAGGGCAAGCCGCTGCTGAGCCAGCAGTTCCCTTTCAACATCGACCAGCTCTTCACCATGATGTTCACCAACTCGCAGTTCAACCTGGAGCTGCTCACCGCGCGCGAGAGCACTGACTACACGCAGGTTTACAAACATCAAAATAATATAAACAAACACATCTTAATATCAATTAAAACTTTTTATTTCATAATTTTGTATTACTCTAAATTAAGAGTCGCCAAAATCTCTGAAACTATTAACCATGGGTTACTAACACCAAAATCAATGGATAAAACATATTGTCATCCTTGACTTTCATCTTTAACAAAATTTTAAACGGAGAAATTGGTCTCAGAAACCCATGGTAAAACATCTTTTTCTTAAATAGCTGTCCGCGTTTTCATAAGAATGAAGGTATTATAGTTAAAACTAGTAGATGTAGATGAATATTGAAGAGTGTAGTATAATAATGTGTTCAGTGATGTGGTGGCAGGAGCCGTGGCAGACGCAGGGCACGCGCAAGGCGCGCCGCGTCACCTACACGCTCAGCCTCTCCTCGGGGCTCGTCGGGCCCAAGAAGGTGCGCGTCAACGAGACGCAGGTTTGTTCCTTCTTTATCTATCTACAAGTTGCCGCCCGCGAACCCGCAGAATTAAAAAAAAAGTTAATAAGTAGCCTATGTGTTTTTCCAGACTGTTTTATATATATATGCCAAATTTCAGCGAGATCCATGCAGCCGTTCCGGAGATATTTTCAAACATCCATCCATCTAGACATTCGCATTTATAATATTAGTAAGATTGATTGAAGATACAAAATTGTAGTTAAACCCATGTTTTCATTTCCATGATGTCGAAGTGTTTACATGATTCACCATAAATGTGTACCAACAGACTACTTTCTGTATGTCATTATTTATTAGGCAAGAAGTTAAGAAATTTTGCAAATTTACGCATAATTATGTTATCAATAGTGGTTAAATATTTGATTTGTCAAAAATCCGCACCGGCTGTTAACGTATAAACTAAAACGTATTTGAACATTGTGTCATTTTTTTGATAGTAAGACCCTTTATTTTTTAAGTACATAAATATACCATTGTTTTTGTCTATTTATCAAATAAAGAATAGGAATAGTTAATTACTCGAGATTAAACTCTCATTTGGTTGTAATCAGGTGATGAACAAATGCTCGAAGCCCGGCGCGTTGTACTCAATAGACGCGACCAGCGAGAACTCTGGTATCCCGTACGCGGACTACTTCACAGTGGAGGTGCACTACTGCCTGCAGCGCGCTGCGGAGACCAGCACGCACCTCGCTGTGTATGCCCACGTGCGATACAAGAAGACCATGTGGCCCATGGTCAAAAGTATGCAAATTTTTTATGAAATGCCTTTTGGGCTACGCAATGCACATGGCACATTTCACACAGCTATTTGCCGTACTTTGCTTGACGTTTGAGTAGTCGTTGCTAATTGTATTTAATTTAATATTCCATGTATTTCTAATTCTGGGTGCAAATTGTTTATATTTATGTACAGCGCTGTTAGAGAACAACACAATGTCTGGTCTGGAGGAGTACGCGCGTCTGCTGGAGACGCGGCTGACGGCAGCTCAGCCTGCGCCCGCGCGCCACGCCCGCCGCCGCCGACGACATCTTGGTAACTTATTATGTTTACATATTTCGTTAAAATGTACACTTTATAACGGTTTTATAACAAATTGAAACATAATCTTGATGTTACAGAAAGGAAAAACTTCTACGTAGTCTATAATCATGAAATACCGATGCTGTAACTTTTATTTTTTTCTTCAAAACGAATGAAAGCAATGATTGATACAAGTTTGAATGTATAATAGTGGCACGTGTTACAGCGGTGGCGAGCCAGGAGCCGGTGGCGCTGCCGCTGGCGGCGCGGGGCGGCGTGGTGCGGGGCGGGGCGGCGGCGGTCGGGGGCGGGGCGCGCTGGCTGCCGCTGCTGGTGCTGGCGCTGCTGCTGCTCAACGCGCTGCTGTACTGGCGCCTCGCAACACTACACAACAACGCCTTCGACGCAGATGACCTTCAAGCCAGGTGGGAAACTAGACATTAACACAGTATGTCTAGTATTTTTTTATGTTACTCATTTTTTAATTTGCGTAATTTTTAATACCCTATAACCTTTTTCAATAATCAGACTCAGTAGAGAGTTCTCACCTTAGTATGAACGTCAATAAAATATTTTATATATCGTTTGAGCGATCGATAATGTTTGTATTGTTGTTGGTGTGATGCAGGATGAGGTCAGTGAGCGGGTCGCAGATGGCGGACTGGTCGCGGCTGCTGCAGCAGCACACCTCGCGCCAGCGCTCCGAGCTGCTCGCCTGGCGCGACGCACTAGTGCGTACTGTGGCACACCTCGCTCAGGTACCTCGCCTGCACTTTACACTACCTGCCTCACTCTGCCTTGCTTTTTTCCAACATAAGGATAATCTATCATTCATATCAGTCTTATATACCGTCGTTATATGGTTTATATGACAAGGCTTTCTGGATTGGTGAGCATAAGTCAAACTAAATTATGACAGCTCACTAGCGCCCCCCTGACAATCTCAAAAAAATGTCACAAAATCCTCGTTAGGTTAGGTGTCAAGTTTTTCTTTATTGTCATTTTTCTATGTCTAAATAGCCAACTACTATAGCAGCGTCTCTCACCGGTTCAGATATTCTTCTTTGACTATATAACTATATTTTTCGAGACCTTATACAAGTAATGAATTAACAGACGGAGCAAGAGCTGAGAAAACTGTTGGATACGATAAAGCCTTCGCTGGAGAAGGCGCACGCGGAGGCAGACGCGGTGCCGCCGGACGGAGAGCTCTGAGCGCGTACTGAATGTTGCGTAAGAGAGGTCACGTTAGCCTGGTGTCCGGTCTGACACGTGTTGTGGCAAACTATGCAAGGTAACAAACATAAAGTACATACGTTTTGAACGTTTCCGTGTCTCATGTTATTTTATTATTGACTATGACAATGACATGATATTGCATTTTATTTAATCTGTAACTTATGGCTATTTGTTTTTTTTTGTTTAGGAAAACTCTATGGTTGAAATATTATGCTTGATTTTTTATTAAAACGGAAAGTTTTAAAAAAATCATAAAAAATAGGGAATCTCCTAATTTTTAAACGTTCACAAAAGTAATATTGTTAGATTGTACTCATAATATAGATATTTTGTTGTTTCCTTTAGAAAATCTTACGATTTTTAATTTCCTACCAATATTACCTCCTAGCCACTTAGTTGATAACATCGTAACCGATTTACTAACAAAATTATGTTAAGTCGTATAATTTTATCTTTGCATTTTTAAAACTTCGATCATAAATACGTAATGGTTAAAAAATATATCTTATGTTCTTATGACGATAATTCATTATAAGAACAAATATAACATGAGTTGAAAATATTCCAAAATGACATAAAACCAGATATTTGAATGAGATAAAGTAACAATATTATTGCCAAATTATTTACAATTATAAATATATTGTTGATAATGAAACTTAAAGCAATATTTACTTATTAAATAATTATATTTAATACCAAAATACACAGAAACATTTCAAATTATAATATGCTAAAATTTTATGATTTAAGAGCCAATCGGGTTACTAAAAAAATTTAGTTGTTTTCCGGTGTTTGTATTTAGTTTTAAATGTAAATTGTAATATAGCTTCACTTTAACGTCTTACCTTAGGTTTCCGAGTCTAAAATCCTAGTTTAAAACATTGTTATATCTGTTTTTTCAAAGATATGATATGTTTTATAAATTTTATTCTCAGAAATCAACGGTTAGACAGTGATTTTTAATAATTATGTTTTGCTTGATGTTTAATAATTTAAGTATAAATTAAGTTGTAGAACACACTTATATGTGGTTTTTGACTGTTAACATTTGTATTGACATCGCTCTAAATGAAAAACCAGAGACAACCGTCAATATAAATGTCAAAGTCATCAATAATAGAGTAACTTTCTTTTGTACGTACGCACATTGTAAAGATATTAGTTATATCCGTTTGAGTTTGTTTTGCAAGATCTTTTGTAATTTAATCTTTCATATTGTGAAGTAAATCTCGCTTTGATTATATAAATGGTGATTTCTATTTTATTATTTTCTTATTGAATTTAGTTAGTATGTGATATGCAGTGAAATAAATTAGTTTAAATATTTATATATTTTAAATTCTTACCGTATTCCGCTTTTTTTCCAAGATGTTTTAAAAATTCTAAGAAACCCGCGTGTCCCGAACTTTATAACTGTGTAAGAATTAAATGTATTATTGTATAGATTGTGTACACATATATTTATTACATGTTAAGAATAGATTGTTATATTGATTGTTAATATTATAAAATTGTTAGTTGAGAAAAAAAAAACTATCTGTAATCTTACAAATTTTGTATTTTATTTTATGTCGATCTCTTTTTACTGGTAACATTGGTGCTTTTGTTTCTTTATCTTTTTTGGTTATGACATTTAATGTTTTTTTTTAATCTGTGCCAACAAATCGGCATTGTACAAGTGTTGTGTAGAATATAAAAAGATGAAAATGTAAATCATTCCAGGCAGTAAATGATCTGAGCCTCGTGTCTGTAGTTTTAGATAGTTAGTCGTATTTGTGTGGTTTGTGTAGCTGTCGAATGCCCACGACTCGTTGGAATGCGATGTGCGGTACAAACTGAAGCCACGGGACTTACCCCGAGATAAAGCAATTATTGATTCAAATCTTAGAGGAATTGATGAACACGCTCTACATAGCTAAACAAACTCTTTACCGTAGTTTATGAATTTAAGATTAACTTGGAACTTTTTAACTAAAATTTTTATATGCGTATTGTTTTGGGACATCCAATTCGGTTGTAAGAACGTGCGCGCAAGTATCAACAAAAATAATTTTGACATAGAATCTAGTTTAAAATTGGAGTTAAGTTTATATGATTGTCAGATAAGATTCTTGTGTTGTGACCGCACATCGCCGTCCTCCCGCCGCCGCACAAAGCGTTCTCAGTATTTCAATAAAAACATTAATTATCAAATTGTATTTTATTTGACTACATATACATTCGTATACCTTCACTAGCATTATAACCATTTAGGGTAAACAGAGATCATCAAACAGAAAAATCCTCGCCGACAAAAATCTGATTATTCAGTAGTTTATCTTTCATAAATTCCTTAGATCGTTAAATTGGATAGGGAAAAATAAAACCAAAAACTTATTGTTGTTAATTTATTTTCTTCATAAAAATCTATTACTTACCCATCTTTAACTCCATGTTGTTTATGTGTTATTTTATATGTGAATAAATTAATCTTTCAATCACACTTACGAGAGAAGTTTCACCAAAGTCTTCATGTCCAGTAACGATTGCTTAAGTATTCTTAAAAAATATTCACAGAAAATGCGTTCCAATAAGAAGTTCATAAAGCAACGCCATATTGTGACGTCATAGGGTTTAATCGGACGTCAAAAATTTATGTTTAGCAAAAAATCTAGTTTCTATAATTTATTAATTATTTTAAAAGATCGAGGTAATTCATATTTGAAACATATCATTGATTGAACTGGAATGTATCAAAATATGATAAAATTACTTACCAAATATTGGATGGGGGATAAAAAAATAAAACGAAATATAATCCGACACTGTGTCAAGATTTATTGCAAATCCATCATACACAGCGAGTCGGGGTTTGTCTTAGAGCTAAGTGAGGGGTTTGGAGTGGGGGTGGGAGGTTCATTTGTCGTCATCCTTGAAGACCATGGTGCTGTGGCACTTGCCGCAGTAGTGACGGTCCTCCATGACGGCCATGAACACGCCCGCGCCGCACTGCTCCCCAGTGCACTCGCGACGTAACCGGTGGATCTTGCCGTTCTCGTCCACCTGCACAAATACATTAACTCTATATCACTTCTTAATCCAATGCCAAAGTTTGGATGTATGTATGAATGGATATCTGTTAAAAGTTATATCAAGAATAGCTCCATGTATCTTGCTAAAATTTGGCATAGCTATAGTCTGAAAGAACACATAGGCTACGATTTTTTTTTCGGCACGGCTGAAGTCGCGGGCCAATGCTAGTATTCTTGACATAGTTAGCAATTGCTGTGAAATTTTCTACAAAATTGGCAGTAATATATAGAACTATCAAACTACTTTAACTCACCTTGTAAAACCTGAGTACAGCTAGTTTGACCTTCTTCTTCTTGTGCTTGATCTTCTTGGGTGTGGAGTAATTCTTCTTCTTGCGCTTCTTGGCGCCACCACGGAGCCGTAGCACGAGATGGAGTGTAGACTCCTTCTGGATGTTGTAGTCGGAGAGTGTGCGACCATCCTCCAACTGCTTGCCCGCGAAGATCAACCTGGATAGAAAGGTAAAATGATACCATTCGGTTTCAGGTACAAAGTAGCTTATATTAATAAATTCCACAATTTATTTTAACTCATAATAGAATTTAATAGCGACCATTGAGGACTCTGAGAATAATTATTTTACAGTTCATTTTTAAACTTGCTTAGAAAGAGGGTTTAAGCAACTCATGATTTTGAAGACATAAGCCTACCTCTGCTGGTCCGGAGGGATTCCCTCCTTATCTTGAATCTTGGCTTTGACATTTTCGATGGTGTCCGAGGGTTCAACCTCGAGGGTGATGGTTTTCCCCGTGAGGGTTTTCACGAAAATCTGCATCTTGGCTCCTAAAATTAAACATAAACATCTTTGTAAACAGATGAACATAGCAATGAGTGCATGACTAATATATGAAATATTGCACAATATTATCAAATAAATTCATAAAGCTAGTTTAAAATACTTCTAACTTAAAAAAAGATTTTTCATTTTGACTTTTTTCCATGTATTTGAATAAGACCTGCGATGATTACTTCAAATAACCAACTATCAGATTAGAAAAAACATTGTTTTTTGATATTATTTCAGCAAAATAATTGCTTTCATTATTTAATTCTTAAATTTAAAACATCTTAAAGGTAAAGTTAAATAAACAACAAAATTGTCACAAGTCTTTATTTCAATGAAATCACATATTACATTAAACAAGGAGTATAGCATTAATAACTCCATCATTCTCCGGGTTGTTGGAGACCTGGGCGTACTTGCCCCACACAACTTTACCCGCCTGCGTTACAAGACCAAGCTCTGATATATTCACTTCAATAACTGTACCCTTTGTGATAACACCAAGACTTGTGTACATCTGAGAACTTGGATTCTTCTTAACACCAATTATTGGCAGACAAAATGTCGCTTTTAATTCAGGATGTGTGACATGCGCTTTCTTAAACCGTAGAGCCATTGGCCGAATAAACCTCTCAAACTTTGGTGGTTTCCGTGTGAAATTCTCTCCTACAAATGTCACTTTAGTTACCATTCTCTTCCAAGCTTTTCGTTTAGATTTACCAGATTTTAAGACTTTGAACACCTCCGCATCAGCTTGTGCTCTTACTTTAGGTATTGGTACATCCCATTTTCCAGCTTTTTCTTTACGTTTCTGTTTAATCATGTTAGACAATACTTTGGCGCGGGACTGTACATCTCTGTCCAGTAAATACACCGGCAGGGCGCCTTCAGATACTTTCTCAGTGTTTTGTTTAACATTTCTCTCCTCGTGTGCCTTAATTTTCTTCTTCATTTGAATCTTTTCATTGCGACGCTCCTTGTTGTAGATCTTAGCCTTGATACCTCTCAGTTTTTGCGCCTTTTCTGCTCTCTTGTGCGGCTCACGGGCCTCCTTCTTACGCTTCCTCTCTTCATAGTCAAGACGTCTACCGTAAAGCTTTTGGTGGCGTTCAATGTATTCGTTCTGCGGCATTGTGGTTGCTTTTACGGCAACTACAACAAAATGTGACTTCTTATGAAAAGCTTCAACTTCCACCAAATGCTAAGTGTAACCTCTTCACTACATTTAAGTTGTAGCAGTTTTCACATGTAATGTTTTTTACTACTTTTTTTCTCTGCTAATAAACACACCACTTCAGACTACTGTCTGATATTAAATTACAACTTGAAAATAAATTTATTTTCAATATTCCTAACACGTCGTAGGCACCCACGTGCAATGTCAATGTTTAAACATATTGCTTTAAAGCTCACGAATAAAAATTGCAAGATATTACTTACGTTTACACTATTATCATTTGGTGTAAAAAAGAAAGTTTCAACTTAATAAATTACGGGAAATATTAAATGTTTTTACAAGATTGACAAACTCACCTTATGCCGACACCATGCCACAAGGAAAAGGAAGTTTGACATAGACAATAAATTAGTTTACCAGTTACAAAAATCATAGATAAGAAAGTTTTTATAAAAGTTGCAAAAATATCATTTGATAAAGATAGGTATAAAATTATGATACATTATTGTCCCTTGCACGGGTGGACAATGCGAAGAGTTGCGAGTCGGCGTTAACCCTAATCCTTATTATTTAAAAAGGAGAAGATAAGCCAATGAAAAGAACAAGCGATGTAGATAGAAGACAGAAGAACTACGGTAACTAACCCATAAACCCATTTGAAATTGATTATTCACAAGGAAAATTATAATTTTAACTATTTGGTTCACATAAGAGTTCGAGTCGCGGACGAGCACAAAATTGGGTTGGTGGATATATTATCTATAATTCTAGTCTATGATTTTTAAGACATTTTTAAATTGTCATAATATTTTTCACTCTTTGGAACACGCGATCTCCATATGCCATTGGTGGATATTTTGAAAGTTTGTTGTGATTGGTTCATTTTTGACAACGACGCATACAAACGACCAATAGCAAATCGGCAAGCTGTTGTTTAATTTGTACATCAAAAAATTCCACAAACGAGTTGAAACGAGTTGATGTGAAGGAAAACGTACATCCAAAATTTACAATACTAATCAAACCAAATTATCAATCGAAACTTTATAACATTTACAGAAGATAGAAGGTCTGACGAATATGAATACAACTGCTTCGTTCTCATCAGGTACAAATTGTAATATTAAATATTTTCTTTAATATCCTAATGTACAAAATGGTGTCATATGTTTCTGTATAGGTGTGTTTTTATAGCGGTTAGTTTTTTTATGTTCATGGCATCTTATACGCGCATTTTTCAAGGACAAAGTAGTAGTATTCGTTTTGTGAATGGTCGAATGGCATCCAGTAATACATTCCAAGGTTGGAAACCTATATTGTAGATAGTAAAAAAACTTACATACCTGGAAACTCAGATGTAAATAATGAGAATAAAAAGTTTAATTTGTTTTCAACTTCTGTGCATATCTTTATAGACATTAATATCAAATGGCATTAAGTTATAAGCTTATAGTTATAAAGACCTGGGTTTTTTTGACAGGTACTGTTTAATTTGAAGGTTTTGTTCTAGCTATATGGCTTTGTATGGAAAGTCTCAAAATGTAATTAGGCTATCATAGAGGTAAATAAAACTAAATTAGCAAAGATGAATAATGTCTCAAATTATTTACAGATACAAATACAGATTGTAATCTTCATTGTCTAAAAACATTTGGTTTTAATTCACAAATGTGCATTTTTAAAGCAACTTCAAATAACAGGAGGTTCACAATATGCATCTTTTTTGTTTTTTTTTCTAATTACTATATTAACTGCTGCTATTGAATATGTTTAACACCAATTAAACTTTTTACAAATAAATTTCAGAACATTCATGGAGCAGACGTTGTTCAACTGAAACCGTTTTTAGCATCCAAGGAAAAGAAACTGGTAAGAATATACTTTTTTATTGGTTTTGTATGCTCAAAGGTTTGCATGTGCCGAGTTATTACTGTGTTAAAGTTTGTTTATTAATATTTTTTGCTCACCATAGGTGAAAAATTTCTTTTATTGAAAACCAGTACTGTAAATTAATTTAAATTACATTTGGGTATTAATTACTTACTTACTAATTAAAATCGTTTTTATTTTCATACAATGTAACTCGATATGAACCTAAAAACAATTGTAATTTATTTTAAAACATGTAAGGACATGCTGCGAAACAGTCAGCCCGCATTGCTTTTATCTATACAATAAATCTATTTTACCTGGCCTTTATCTATCTACAGTGAGCCATATCTGAAAATTTGTAGAGTCAGTGGCCAATATTTAAAAATAACATTTTAAACAAATTGGGTAATATTTATCGCAAAAATATGAATATGTGACAATTTTTTGCTAATAATTGTTTTTTTTTTCATGATTTCAAATATAATTAAAAACAAGGTAATCTTTACTTTACTATTTTAGTAAAGTAAAAACCAAACTCGGGAGAAGTATAATTTATCTTTAAGAAAAGGATCATTTTTACTCTGGTATTCCTACTGGTATAAACAAGGATATCAAGTTTAACAAAAAGTCTATTGATTATTTTGCAAGTGGTTTTTGTAATTAATTGTCATAGGAAGTGACTTAATGACTTGTTTATGAGTGCAGTGCAATGAGTCAGAGCACAACGAAACTTGCGCCAACATGTCGCGACCGCTGTCACGATCTCACGATTTCCCGCTCTTTTGTACGCGGCCATTGTTCAAGGACAAATTCGTTTCTTTTTACCAAAAAGTCTTTGTAAAGATGACTAATATTTATTCTGATGTATCATTATTTATGGTAAAAATTATACTATTTGCTACTAGAAATATTGAATGTTTTTCTTTGTCTAATATTTATCCATAGTTTATGTAATATTAGAGATTTTGATATATATTGTTCAGAAATTTATATTTGTATATTTTTAATTTCAATATTATATATGTATGACGATTAAAATATTAGTATCATATTGTAATATAGGTATGTAATATATACATTATTTTCAAATTTTCTACTTTTCTTTGCTTTTTATATCAGTCTGTAATTTTATAATCTTTCTATTTTATTCCACAATAATTTTAATAGTAAATATAATTGTCACATTTGTATGAATGATAATTAATTGAAAATAATATTGTCAGATTTTTGCCACCATCAATGTGTGGCATCGGGGCAGCCGAGGTGAGGGTTGTAAGGACATGAAGAGTGCACGCAGAAATCATCAATTTCATCTTAGCGATAGTTACCATGTGTTAACAACATACAGTACCATATTCACTATCTTTTTTTTAAACAGAATGTGAGAGATGACAGAACAAAACTGGATCAGTGAGACTCCAAAGGACTGTGATATTTTTCTAACTTATAGAGGTTTCTCTCCGAGATTCTTATTAAGGTTGTCTGTCAGGTCCTGACAATGGCTCCTGTTTATATAGGTTTCTCGTTTATCCAGGTTTGACATGTTATTGTTAGAGTATTTCGACAGTGAAAATGGTTATATGTGTAAAAATTATATCAAAGTCTTATGGTTATATGTTTATTTGGACAATAAACATATATGTTAAATCAGTGACCAGAAACTATACCAGGAAAATAGCATAAAATTAATTGGAAGATTTGTTAATTAAACCATTTCTTAACTAAGCCATACCAATCATGATTACACATCTTTGCAGTTACATTCTGGTTAATGGAGTACGTAAATTTAATATTAATTTTTCATATGCTTTAACTTTAACAATGGTAGCGGCTTTTTAAGAATGGTTTCTTTGTCCTCAATTATAATATTGCAGTCATTTTATAAGCTTTTTCGTTACTTTCATAAATTAGAAAATACATATTATGTTGTAAGGTTTTTTTTTAAATGTTTGATAGGTTTTGTTTTTTTTTAAGATAGTGTTGATTAATTAGTGGTAGTACTAGTATAGTTTTGTTTGTGATTTTCGTTAACATGTGTTATGTTTTTATATTTTGCATGCTATTGTGTTGTGTACTTATATATTGTGTTTTGTAATTAATGTTCATAAAAAAACAGTAGAGCAAAATAAAAGTTTTGAAAAAAGAAATTAAAAAAATAGATCAAAAATAGAATGGAGTTAAGACAAAGGATATAACAAAAAAATAGACGGAGAGCGAATATTATTAATCAAACTTTTAAAAAAATGATGATTTATAAAAAAAATATTGGAGAGCAAAAAAAACAATTAAAAAAATACATGTAATAACGAACCAGAGACTGTTCTAGAAATTGGGATATCATGAGATAAAGTGGAAAAAAAATACAAAAAAAATTTTTTTGGTTGTGTGGCTGAAGATTGTGGTGTTTGTAGATATTGTGCGTGACACGAGTGACACAGAGTGGGCGAGCAGCGAGGAGGAGCGTGACGTGGAGTACGAGCCAGTGACAGAGCCCGAGGACGACGCCCCACTCTCCTGGCAGTCCTCCAGCGGTAGCGACGTACGTTCACATAACACTTCGCAAACATAACCTAACAATGTGTCTCGCTAAGCAATGCTTTAGAAAAAAAGATGGGAAACAATATGTTGCAGCTACAATTATAGGTGTCTTTCAGACTTGTGGCTACCATATTTATTCTGTCTAAAATACTTCATGAGACAGTAGTTTGGTCAAGTCTCCTTCCATGTGTGACACATCATTTCCTTTGCATCCACCCATCTTTGTTAAGGTCTTATCATATGTAACTTATTGTTTCCAGAACGAAATAATAACGACAAAAGTGATAGAGGTATCAATGCGAGACGACGGCGACCTCGTGTTCGCCGACTCCGAGCAGACAGAGTCAAATGGCAGCGACAGCGAGATTGATCTGCACGATTACTGGTACTGCGCGCAATGCCTCGCGCGCAACAACAACCCCCTCTATCGATACTGCGAGAAGTGCTTCAAGGTACGTTGACAATACCAGCCCTAGCACTGTACTTTGGTCCGTTGCTAGCGTCAATTTTAAGCCCATTCCTTGTCCCAATCCTAGGCATGTTCTTTGTTCCAATTCTAGGCATGTTCTTATTTCCAACCCTAGACCCGTTCCTTGTCCCATCCCTAAGTCTTCTGTAAGTACCAATGCTATAGTTTGTTACTAGTCCCAACTCTAGTCCTTTCTAGTCAACTCTAGGCTTGTTTCTACTTCCAATCCCAAACCCGATGCTTGTTTTATGTTACTACATCCCATATCCAGTGCAACAATGTCCTAATTATGAAAATATTAAAAGAAAACTCAATTGTGTATGTTGTTTATCATTATACAAAACAAGGCCACTATCAAAAGGTCATGTAACATTAACTTTTGATAACCTTGTAATGTAACAAAGTGTTAAAAATTATGACATTGATAAAGCAAGTTTGCACTATTGTATTGTTTTGTTGCTTTTTGTGTTTTATGCAATGTTTGTTTTTATTAATAATTCATCTCTTTAGATTTTTAGAAAATAATTGCAGTAATTTACAGATGACACGCTTCATTTCATTTTTGACGGCACATTTTTATTTTGTCTAGCATGGCCCATTCTTCCCTGATGGTATTTACAATAGAAAAATGTCAATCATTGGATTCAATTTCAATGTTTTATTCACACTTTTAGTAAAAAAAGACTGAAATATTCAATTGGTATATGGCCAAACTAATTTCTAGATGTGTTTCGAAACACACTACATTTTTCTATGTTCAATTTGAAGCTTTTTTAAGAAATGTATGAATTTTGATTTAAAAAAACCGTTTTGAGCAGCTTTTTAATTCATGATCTAATTTGTGGTTCGATCCCCACTCTGTTTCTAATTAAATTTCTCAAATTATCTACCGTATTAAGGTATTAGCTAATTGTTCAAACCATTACAGATTTTACAAATTCCTTTTCTACGTAATAATTTCAGACCAGTCCAGAATTGGAACTGCTGCCTCCATCTATAGACCTTCAAATTGGACCCATTACATCTGGCAATGGTTTATTACAAGAAATCTCCCCGGACTCTATGACAAAGGTCATTTTTCTCCCCACTTTTATAAGTTATCTAGTTCTTTACTTCTTAATTCTTCTTTTCAATTCTCTTCTTGATCAGAAAAATCTTTTATTCAAAAATATTCTTTGTATAAAACAATTCATAATTGTTTTATAAATTCCTGGGTTCGATTCTCAGCTAGTTTTTCTAAACAACTTTGATTGTCATCATAAAATCAAAAATGTTTTGTTTTGTCTGTCTGTTTTGTAATGTGTGGCGACAGGTTCATATCCTGTAATGTTTGGCTTAAATATAGTAATGTCTGCAAATGGTTGAAGGAAGAACAATAGTAAGTTTGTGAAGGTGAGTATAGGAAATGAAAGAATATTCTGTCTCAAGGTCTAGTGGTCTACACATTGTTGAGATTAATTTTGGAGTCTGGAGGATTTTTTTTTGCGTCCACTGTATTCCTTGGATATCAGCAAATACTAACTTGAAAAAAAACTATTGTAACAGAAATAAAGTTAAATTGTCGGGAAATTTGATTATTAATCAAATGTCTGTATAATAAAATGTGACTTGATATATTCTAGGTACGTAAAAACTTCTTCCCGCCGAGGCCGAAGCGAAAACACAAGCGTAACTCGCTCGAGCGCGACAACACACGGATAGATCCTGACATAAATACAAAAGACGAGGATATCGTCGTATCTAGGATCGATTCCGACAACATGGCGCGTCTGTCACAGGACTCGGGGGTCGAATCCTTAGGCATCATATCAGCCTCCAGCCAGGAACTGGGTCCCAGCGAAGGGGTCGGTCTCTCAGCTGATAATGAGGTCAAAAGTGAGACTAGTTTAAGCCAAAATGTGATATTAAATAGACGGAAACGTCGCGCGGAATCCGCCGACCGTAGGGACAAACGTATGAAAGTTGACTATTCAGATTCCGAAAGCGATTCGGATAGCGAAACGAAAGTTAAACCGTTAGTTAAAATGGTTAGTGATCCATCTCTATCAATACAAGAGATAGATTCTGTTAAATTATCCAAAAAGGCTATTATCAATTCAATAAAGGAGAATCTAGATGGGGATGATAATATGTGCATAATTTGCTTTTCTAAACCAAAGTCTGGTGTCTTTGTCCACGGTAGAATAGCACACATATGTTGTTGTTACAACTGCGCAGTAAAAGTTTGGGCTAAAGCTAAACGTTGTCCCGTCTGCAACTGTAAAGTCAGTAATGTACTCAAGGCGGTCGTTATGTAGTCGGTAGGATTTGTAAATAATTTGTTGATTACCTTTTGTTGGTCGTTGAATAATTGTTAATTATCTTACTATGGTACTGAAGTAAACAGTGGCCATGTTCAATCATAACTTGCTAAAACAAAAATATTTCTCTAACACAATAACTTATGCAAGATGAAGGAAGATTAGTCTATTTTCAAGAAGTGTGGTTATTAGTATAACACTTTCAGGGTAGGTAGATTCAGGGTACATTTCTGGAATATACCGATACGTTTTTAATTCGATCTAGGTTTAAATCTAGATTTAGGCGTTGTGGCTATGTACCTGATCAAATGATCGCGTGGATTTTGTATATAGTAATAGAAGAGTTTGCAAATTGCATTAAAATTGTCTAGTTCTTAGAGTGATATATTCAGAGTAAGTTTTTTTGATTAGATTACTAGTTTTCCACCGAAAAGAGATAATATATTGTTTATGTAAAGTCTAGGTTAGGTCGTAAAAGAAAATAGGTTAAATACAAAAAAATCGTCACATAATTTAAGGTCAAATGAGGTTTCGACCTAAATAAATGTAACCTCAAATCTTATTTAGTTGTCTTAAGTTTGAAACATGTTTTAGTATACAGCAAGAAATCATACATACGCTTATTTCAGAGTTAGAATATTAATATGTTTCCATGTTAGTCGGCAAGTACAGAATAAATTCGTGTTTCGTACGGTTTTTGTGCAATAAAATAAACGTCAAAATTTGTCAAATGTCATTAACAGTGACAGATAGATATTGGCGCCAATTTAATAATTGTCGACGTTTTGCATTAAGTTTAGAAATATGTTCCTGGTAAAAAATAACATATATATATTTATTAAAAACGCTTCAAAGAAATTTTATTATAATTACTATTTAACTTCGTACTAAAATCAAACCCACCATCTTTTCCTACCGCGTAGAGCTTCTATCATTTGTTTTCTCTTTAAATTGATTTTATTTCGAAACGTATATTCTGTGTTTATAAATGGGAGTTATGAATGTGTAAAAATGAGTTTAGGAATGGACACTAACGTACGATAAATATTGTGCCTTTCGTAGTTATTTTTTCATTATAATATGGTTACACTTGGACCACTCATGTAATTATTAGAAATGAAAAAAAAAAGAATAGAAAATCGAAAAAGAATATTCGATTGAAATATCTTATTTAAAAAAAATATATTATTAATGAATAAATTTTTTCTTTTCAGGAATACATGCTTTTTATTTTTATTACCCTATAAATACCCAAAAAATCAGATAAAATTTTGGCCAAAATAAATTTTTATTAAAATTTCATTAAAACCAAAAAACAACTGTAATACCTAACTGGTTTACCTTTGTATATGAAAAAAGAAAAGAATAAGTTACAGAT